TCGAGCCAGATGAGTATTTCTCGTCAGATGCCTACGATGAGGGCAGCGATCGAGAGCCTATGGAGGATAGTGCCCTGCTTACGCCTGGCGGACTACGGCGGAGGCGACATAGGGAGCGTCCGCCGACAGGAACGGGCAGCAGTTTCAACGCATCTCTATTGCTCTTGAAATCTTTTGTTGGCACGGGAGTTCTCTTCCTACCGAGGGCTTTCCTCAACGGTGGCATGTTATTTTCCTCCCTTGTCTTGCTTGGTGTTGCTGCTCTGAGCTACCATTGTTTTATCTTGCTCATCAGTACAAGGAACAAGGTCGAGGCTTCATTCGGCGATATTGGCGGCATTCTCTATGGAAAGTGGATGAGAGCCATGATACTGTTCTCCATTGTTCTTAGCCAAATCGGTTTTGTGTCGGCTTACACCGTCTTCACTTCGGAGAATCTACAGGCATTTGTTCTTGCGGTCTCCAAGTGCAGGACTTTCATCGACATCAAGTTCATGGTTTTGATGCAACTGGTCATATTTTTGCCTCTCAGCTTGATCAGAGATATTGGAAAACTAGGATTCACGGCTCTCATCGCTGACGCCTTCATCCTCGTGGGCCTCATCTACCTGTACTACTATGACATTGCCACCATTGTCGATAACAGAGGACCTTCGGATATCACTATGTTCAACCCGTCAACCTGGACACTTTTCATCGGTACCGCTATCTTCACCTTTGAAGGTGTCGGGCTGATTATCCCAATTCAGGAATCAATGAAACGACCACAAGATTTCCCTGGCGTCCTGGCTACTGTCATGGTCATCATCACCATCCTTTTCACCTCCATCGGCGCGCTTTCGTACGCTGCGTATGGCTCGAAAACCAAAACAGTTGTCATCCTCAACCTGCCTCAAGACAGTAAAATGGTCAACGCTGTACAATTCCTGTACTCCCTGGCTATCCTCCTGAGCACACCGCTACAGTTGTTCCCTGCCATCCGTATCATGGAAAACGAACTATTCACTCGCTCGGGCAAATACAATCCTTACATTAAGTGGCAGAAAAATATCTTTCGCTTCTTCCTGGTCGCCGTATGTGCGCTCATTGCATGGGGTGGGGCTGGCGACTTGGACAAGTTTGTGGCCTTGGTTGGGAGCTTCGCATGCATACCCCTGGTATATTGCTACCCTCCTTTGTTACATCTCAAGGCTGTGGCAACGACCAAGTTGCAGAAATGGCTTGATTATTTGATGTTTGTATTTGGATTGGCGAGTTGTGTGTATACGACGATTTTAACAATCCAGCAATGGGCAGGGAGCAGCGGTGGTAAGTCTCCCGGGTATTGCGACTCGTGACGCACCGATGGAAGCGGACGACTCCATGTCTAAAGGTATTAGGTGGCGAGGACAAGTGTACGATGTAAGGAGAATGCCGCCACAGCCCTGAAGAGCGATAGACATTCAATGTCGACCGCTTTTGGGTTCAATGAGGAGGTTTGGAACTCGACCTCCGGATATCTGGGAATCCCGGTTCCCCATCCATCAAGATTTGAGCGAGGCCATGTTTCACAGCCATGAGAATCCCATGCTCGACTCGACACTATCTCCTTGGTGAGAACATGACTCAGTAAGGCTTGGGGAACCATGAAACTAGCGTGACCAGAGTTAGGAGAGAAACATCCTAGGTTCTTATCTGTATATAGTTGATTTGATGGGCCATCGAATGGGATGCATGCCGTGGACCCCGAACTCGAAGCAGATAACTTATATCTTTGCTTCCTCGCTATCTAAATCCAATTGCCTCAGTGTCAACCACCAGATCACTACCCACTAGGCATAGCCAAAGGTAGACGCTGTATTTCTGTATTATTTTACACGATACATGAGTCTTGACAGCCGCACAGATCTTGACTCAACAGCCCTCGTTTTCGATCCCAGAGTCGTCCTTGGGACCTGACCAGTATGTATATGTTGGGTCCATCTTGGCTGTCGACAGATAGGGTCCCGCACTCTGGTGGCAGAGACAGGTGCGAAGCCAGCATTTCCCACACAGCCGACGAAAAGAAATGCGGATGTCCTATAGTGCAGTGGGTGGGTAAACTGACGGCATAATAACCAAAAGAAGAAAAAAATGAATAAAGACTGCGTGGTAAAAAAACCCAGCAATAAGCAGAAAAGAGTTGGTCCTTCCCCCCCCCCCCCCCTCCCCCCCAAACACGAGACGTCCCAGATCCAGGTGGTGGTGTCCCTGCTGCCTAGCTCGGGCCAAAAAAAAATCCATTTCTGATATCCAAAGATTGAACAAGACGTGGATCAGGTGTCCAGCCCAGGGAGCAGCTGATAAGTGTAAAGCTGCGCGGCAGTCTCAAGGTACATACATAGATAGGGTGGGTATCTTGCACGGCGCAAAATACCACGTTGACGCAACTCGAACCAAGTCCTTTTCGTGAGGGCAGATTCCGCTAACGCTGATGCAGGTACGATAAGTCAAAATCGAGTTGGGGGACTCAGGCTCCTCGTCCAGCCGGGCTTTCAGGGCGAAGGGATATTCGGATCCGGGTGGACTTGCGTGGGACTTTCCGCGTCGTTAGGGATAGCTGTCGAGAATTGCGCTTGTGGTCAGGACAATCCACGGGATGAACCGCTGATATGAGTCCCGGTTTGATAAAGATGGAGGGGGTTGGTCAGGCTCAACTTCAGAATGGACAGTGGATAGGTGCATCATAATGTTCAACGCTGTGACTTTTCATGGCACTGTTTTGTCTCTCTCAATGAACAGACAAGAGCATTGGGAAGACGACTTCAGTCGATGCCTTTGCATCAGGTCCTAGCGCTGGAGGACCATACGTGAAATCAGCACCGAAAACCGCGTCGTCAAACGTCCGCCGTGATTCGTCGACTTCCATCAAATCCAGGGCGGCTTTCATTCTTTGAGGCATAAACGGTTGGAGAAGAATAGCCATGACTCGGATAGAGTCCGCGCTGGTAAAAAGGATGTAGTTCGCTATACGCCTTGTTTCGGGATCTGTACTCTTGATCAACTTCCAGACTTCAGAATTGTGGAAGAGCTTGTTTGTCTGCGAAATTGGTCAGCTCTGCGACTTCAACCGTAACATGTGAAATTATGTCTTACCTCCCCGATCAGCTCACAGATTGACTGTACAGCTTTCCGTGGATCCGGTTCCTTCATGTGGTTGTCCGCGATTTCTCTCACAGAGCATAGTCTGGCATGGTGACCTCGTAGGTTGGCATGAATGGCCTTCATCTCCATGTCACTGGCGCTCCATTGGTCTCGAGTGATGAACTTTGAGAAATTTTCGTCCTCTTTGACCAATTTCACAGCCCCACGGACATCGAAGTGCTTGCTCTTGTAGACGCGATGAATGAGATTGCCGAGTCCACCTCTTAGTAAGTGATTGTACGTCTCTTCAATGAATGAGTTGTCGTACGTGGCATCGTCAACAATACCTCCGTTGTGTGCCATGAAGAAACGGATACAGTCCACTCCAAATCGGTCCATGGCGTAGAACGGATTGACCCCGTTGCCGGCCGACTTTGACATTTTTTCGTTGTTCATCGTCCAATGAGCATGGGTCAGGAATCTATCCGCCACAGGAAGATTCAAAGCCATGAGGAAAGCAGGCCAGTAAATGGTGTGAAAACGGATGATGTCTTTGCCGATGACTTGACAATTCGGGGGCCACATCATGTTGGCGTCATTTCTGTTGACGAACGGATATCCCGTCATGGTCAAGTAATTGAATAATGCATCGAGCCAAACGTAGATGGTCTGGCTCTCGTCACCCGGAACCTGAATTCCCCAAGTCAACCGCGATGAAGGTCTGGAAACAGACAGATCTTTGAGTCCACTTCGAATCTCGTCCATGATGAAGGCCATGCGCTGCTTTGGGACAATAGCGCCTGCATGGTTCTCGTAGTACTTTAGCAACGGAGCCTGAAACTCGGACAGCCTGAAATGGTAATTCATCTCCGAAGTCCATTCGACATCTTTCCCGGTCTCGATGGAGACAATCTTCGTTATACCTGTTGACGGATCGAGGACTTTGTGGACTTGAGTTGAGGGATAAAAAGTCTCGTCGCTGACCGAGTACCAGCCCTCGTGCTTGGCTTCGTAGATAAATCCCGCGCGATTCAGCTCTTCCCAGACATATCTGACAACATCCTTATGGTCCTCGTCCGTGGTTCGGATGAAACGGTCGTAGTCGATGTTGGCTGCGTCACATAATGCCTTGAACTGCTCGGCGTGATGATCGCAGAACAGCTTAACATCGGTGTTTGCCTTTTGAGCAGCCTTTTGCACCTTCATTCCATGTTCATCGGTTCCGGTTAGGAGGGTCGCCCTCGTATCACCGCGAAGCTTCGCCCAGCGTTTGAGAACATCGGCGAGGACCAACGTGTAGAGGTGGCCGACATGGGGTGCTGCAACGTGTAAAGTCAGTCAGCTGCCATCTGAAGCGAAAGACGATCAACACATGCCTGAATTGACGTAGAATATGGGCGTTGTCACATAGTAAGGTTTCCCTGCCAGAGCATGAGCATAAGCATTTGTAGAGCTTTCTGGTTCAATCGCTGCTGCGAGGGTGCGCCGTTGAGAATTTCCACGAGGCAGAACCGGTCGCCATGGTTGACATCGCGCAGAAGCTCGACATTGGAGGAAGAAACTACGAGCGTTGCGCTCGAGAGCGAGCATGCTGGGGTGGGGAGAGTTCAAGAGCTAGATGCGCGCACGAGAGTTGGGTCAACATGTGCAGGCCCACGTATTCATTCGCTCCAATAATTAGTTTTCGGAAGCTACAGCATGGGTGATCAACATTTGCAGTTTTCTCCGCATCACTATTTGGAGTCCCCGATCGACGGCAAGGCGGCGAGGCTGAGCCTCGCAGCCTCTCTAGGTGGCGGAGTGGCGACATTGGCCAGGTAGCCTCTCTGCCTCTATTCCATGCATTCATTCCAATACAAGTACAGATAATCGCGGAGAAATGGAGAACAACATTCGGACTAGAGCATATGTTCATTCACATTCGAAATCACCTTTAAATCACTCCCACCTGCAGCCCCCGGTCCTTTAATCTTGAAATATAATCCATGCAATACCTTTCCATCTGTCCATGAAATGTCAGTTTCATTTGCGGTCTTCATCATGTTGCCCGTCAGCCCCGTCGCTCGGCGTTCAAAGAAGTCGTCTGCGGTCTCATATTCGCCTTGACTCGTTCCAAAAGCTCTGACCTGGTCATTTTGGTGTCAGGCGCTAAATTCCTCTTGAACATGAGTGTCAGTCTCGCCGCGATTGACCTTTTGCAGGCTGATCAAGCGGCAAAGCATTCAGAGTGCAACCGCTGACTTACCAGCTTCAGCCACCGCCTCAACTCTGTTTCGGTCCAGTATTCCGGATCTGTGTGCGTCGATTAGCTCAATATCTTGGCGCTATGATATTCAAGCCAGCCACCAAAGACGCTGTTAGGAAGCAGGACAGGACCATACCACCCGTAGGATCACCCTCGGCAGGGAATATATCTCCACCCCACATATTCCATAGTGATGCCAGAGTCACTAATCCCGCAAAGCCTAGGAAGAGATAGTAAAAGTCAGGCGCCATTCCTCGCTTTGGGTCGAATGAGGTGCTGTGCGGGTTGGGGATTTGTAAAGGACACAGGGAGCTGGCGACAGCAATTTTGGCGGTTCCGTTGGCCTTATAAGGAGTCATCCAGGGTTACAAGGCAAATTAAGATCCCTGAGATCAGAATCCAGACAGTAGAAGTAGGGAATGCAAACCGAAGAATAGATTCTGGTGACTATATCAGTTGGGGCACTGCAAGTCACCAGGACTCGAGTGCAACATCAAGACAGTGACAAATTCAAGCGTCAAGCCATTGAGTCAGAGGATTGAGTAGGTGATGAGGTAGCACATACACGAGATTGCATTGCTTTGTCCAAGGGAGTAGGCATCTTCGACTTCTTTCTCGAGATCTTACTGGAGGTGGCGAGCCCAGTAGTATAGTCTGTCAAGCGTGGGAGGCGTGTCAAACATCCAGACAGACTTCAGGAGTCTACAAAAGGGAGGTCTTATGCCGTGTTTGAGGATGTGTATGTATACAGCAGAGAGTGGTGAATGATTCTAGTTTCTTGGATGGTGCCTGGAGAAGCAGAGAAGTTAATATGTAGTAATAGATGAAGTGTCTTGATTGGCCAATGCGAACAACAAACAACACCGTTTCCAAGTCCCACTCGTAGTCAATCACTCACGTCCATTTCATACATCTTGAGACTACAGCTACAGCGCAAGTCCGTCGTGCGAAGACGGCCATACATCAATTGACTTGTACTTGTGCGGTCCATGTCTCGAATTCCAGACTCTTAAAATTCGGTCATTAATGGGTATCACATTGTTTCTAACCATCTCGTCATGTATCTCGTGACATATAACGCATCTTATAAAATATATACAAGATCACCGAAGGAAAGACTTGACCTCTACCAGGGGAGATCTGACACACACTCATTCCAGTTTCAAAACCTCCTCTATCAACCCGAGGTAGAAACAACGCCTTCGCTTCGAACGCAGAATTCAACAATCAGTTTCTGTAAGTCAGCCAACTTGTACGGCTTCGTCATGAACCCTTCCATCCCAGTCTTTGTCGCCCGGTCAATGGCCTCGTCAGTGACATCGGCACTGACAGCTAAGACGATGGGAGGAGTCATGCCGCCACAGTCGGATCCATCCTCGCCTTGTGGATGTTGGAACATCTCCAATATATGCTCGGTTGCTTGGTAACCATCCATTTCGGGCATCCAGAGGTCCATCAAGACAACATCGACCTTTTTGTTGGATCGTTTCCCGTACGATTTTCCGCAACTTCGTCCCTTATTGTGTATTTCCCGCATAATCCTCACTGCCTCCTTCCCATCAAACGCTTCGTGCACATCCTTGTAGCCCAGCTTGCCGAGCATATTCACCAGCAATTTACGGTTGATTTTATTATCTTCCGCAACCAAGAATGTCAGAGGATGCTTCTGTGCCAACTGCCGGTCGTACGTGTCCTTCTTGAGGGGACTAATCCGGGCTGGAGTCCGTGGTCCACGGGAGCTATATTCTTCAGTCGACGGCATTGTTATTCTTGAGGGTCGAGAATGCTTGTGGGCGTTGGGCGACGAATCTGGAGGTGCCAGTGTAGTAGCTGGTTGGGAGACACTCTTTGAGCCTTCTGGGGTCCTACTACCAGGGGTGCCAGAACGACTTGTCGTGCTCTCGTTAGGCTCAAAAGGAACCTTAATCTCGAACTCAGAACCTTTGTTTGGGCCCGACACCTCTGAAGCCACGAGGACGATGTCGCCGCCAAGACGACGAGCCAGTCCTTTGGCGACTAAAAGACCAAGGCCGAGGCCTTCCTTGGACCTGGTCAACGAGTCGTCTTCTCGCGAGAATGGTTTGAATAACTCGGGTTGAAAGTCTTCTGGAATCCCATCGCCGGTATCCTTGCACTTGATAATCAAGAATCGATGCGTCTTTGATAGTCGGGCATGCAAAGTAATGCTGCCCTGCTCTGTGAACTTGATGGCGTTCAGCAGCACAGCCGATACCAATTTGGTCAGGTCGCGTTCGTCTGCAAATATAGTCTCGGGCACATCTGCAGCCACTGACCATTCGATGATTTTCTGGGAAATATGGCCATTTGATGAGCGCGACCTCACCACGATTCTTTCGCCCAAGTCAGTGGGTTCTCCTATAGCCGAATCGGGCCTGCCTCCGACACGTAAAGAGTCGTAGATTACCAAGGGTATCAAAGTTCGAATCCGACAGTGTTTCAACCCTGGTGTTGGTAACGGGTCACTTTCTGTCGACGATAGCTTGGTTGAAGGTGTAAGCAGATCCCCAGGTGTGTTGCAATCCTGTACGGGAGTGATGATCGTGGGGACGCGTTCATCTGAAGAGAGCGTCTGCGGGGTTGGGAACTTGCCTGTGTTACTCTTAGGAGAGACGTCAACACGATGTGATGATCCAAGTTGTCGCATCTTAGTGGCGTTACCGAATTGCCAGGATGTCGGACTGCTTCGGCGGCGCTTGTAGGGATTGAAATGGATATCACTCCCTTCAATCAGCCTAGGAGGTTTGTAATCAAAGTAACCCGTGGATGTGGCTGCTGGGGATTCGTTTTCATTCGAGGGAGTATCGGGAATTTGCATATTCATGTCGTAGGCATGGACGACATTATCAGCAGCCTCAACGGCTCGTTTCGCACTGTCTTGGATGGTCTCGATATTCTCTCGTAGACCCCGAAACACCTGGCGCAGAGAGATATCCGAGACACCCTCAATCTGTTCCTGTACCGTTGCGTGCATAACGTCCAGCATTCCCACTACCCCTTGCATTGGCGTCCTTAATTCATGAGACAGGCTTTTCGCATATGGCTTGAGGGACTGGGTCCCAGGGGTGACGGCTTCACGCGGGATGACATGGGTCAGCCTGGCTGTGTTGGTACTTCGATTCCGAGGCTTTACAAACCCCTGGCCGCTCAAAAGACGCTCGACGATCATGTCCTCCAACGAATGCAGCAGGAGTTCCGTGTAACTCCAGGTAGTCTCGCGCCGGTCAAGACCTTCTTGTGTCCACATCATACCGAAATGGGCAAAGCACTTCCCTTCTGCAAACAAGGGGATCCCAATGTAGCCTTCTGCAGGGAAAGGAAGGGCATTAGGATTATGAGTAATGAACGAACTCATGTGCTCCGGAATCAGGAAGACTTTGTCGTGCTTCATGTAGGCACAGGGCGAACCCCAAGCAAGATACTTATAGTCACGATGCATGGCTTTCTGCTTGTCGCCGTCGTTGTAATAGAAAGCAACACCCAGAAGACATGAGCCTGACTCGCCAAACGGGGGCATTTCTACCGCCGAATGGTGGTCGTCTGACAGTATCCGCTTTGCAACAAATCCGTACTGCGCATGGCAAATCTCCGTCATGCCCTCCATCAGCTTTTTCCAGAATGATTCGGTGTCCGCCATTTTGAGTTCTCGCTTTAGCTGCACCAATTTCTCGAGGGCATTGTTCTCAGGAGATGGGAAATGCCTTGCGAGGTTCTGAAGAAATCCATCTTCTCCGTGTTGGGCTGGCACACCGGGCTCAACGCTAGGGAGGCATAATGATTGCCGTTCAATGAGCGGCAGAGACGGCCTAGGATCAGGTGGTTCAGCCATCACTGCCATTTGGTGTTATCGTCCACTTCGAAACACCTGGCTCTGATGTCTTAGGGGTATATTTGTTCTCATAGACATTCGTAGAGTCTGCCGGTCGCGAGCCTTCTGTTGCGAATGCAATTCGATGTTGCCAAAGGCTTCATTCGTCGTAGGTCGAACGATGATGTAGCCAGGTCCAAGATAAGGATCGTGGAGCAGGCAACGACTTGTCGCAACGCAGGTCCGATACTGGGCTGCAGGCGTGTTCCTGGCTATCTTTCTGGTAAACGGGGCGCGAAGGATAGAGGGCCGTAGGGTAGAGGGACTTGTTGTCTAAGAGGGGGAGGAGAGATTGAGAGAAGTCGAAGGAATTTGGTGAAAATAGGTAGAATAGTCGAGGAGTGCTGGCACTGGTGCTGGTAAGTCAAGGATCGGAGACGGGTCACGGAAAGGGCAGCTGGAGGGTGAGGGCGTAGGCTGTCCCAAGACGAAATACGAGTCTCCGTCCCCAGGTAGGTGCGCAATCAAAGTGAGACCGTGCAGCGGGATTCTTGATTAGGGTAGAGTTGCATTATGTTCTGGAGAAGCGGACAGGGAGTGTGGAATACGGTAGACGAAGGCCGTCAGTGCTTGGAGCCTTGGTCAGAGTTTCTGAAGAATTTCTTTGGCCAAACTACTACGTGCCACCGGTGCCACAAACTTCTTCGTCACAGGGAAATCGTACCAAATCTTTTTTGACTTTTGTCTGCTCTCAACTTTATTTACCTACAAGTAGGTTTTTGTACCTCGTACCTAATACTCGTACACAGGGCACACCGGGCCTGTCCAATACCCACAAGTACACATTCAAGTGGCCGAGGCAGACTGGACGACCGCCCCATCTGCGCCAGGAGCTCAGCTTTCAGCTCACATGCAGTTCGGACAAATCCTGCTGGGATGCTATATGCCATTGAGACACATGCCCTGATTCTGAAGGGGAGGGAGCCACATGGGCAAGACACCTTGGAGGACACTTGGCCCAGAGATGCTCCTATGCCAGGAAGGACCCCGTTTGGCGCGGGTATGCGAAAATGTGGAAGTTAATAATACAAACCACAGACTAAGTTACTGCAGACCGCATGTGGCATGACGCCAGTGGCATTGATCCCTCCGCTAAGAACCTTTCGCGGGCGTCAGCAAAAGCCCTGGGTTGTCCTAAGTGAGCGTTTTGTCAGAGTGTGAGCACAAGAGAAAAAAGAATGGAGATGGAGACATGTCGTTGGACAAACCTAGTCGCAGCCACGGTCTAGGCCTTGGAAAGACTCTCCTGCGGCTACCCACTGCCCTGCAGATACGCCATCAGTCCTATTTGATTGGACCTTAACGTAGTCGTGCTAGTCACAGAGGACGAGTACAAGGGACCGAGCACCCCGAACTGCCCTTGCCGAACAACAGACACGTCAGAATTCTTTCCCAGACAGAATTAAAAACAATCACCCCCGTGCACAGGACTCCGGCAGATCTGATCTCCACACTGTTTCCGCCTTGATTGAGCAGACAGAATGAGATCGCTGACTTACAGAGACCCCTTGAGCAGGTCAGATCTGGAAGGTCCGCAAGGGGTTGGGTCAAGAGCTGATATGCTTAAAAATGCCACCTACTATGGATGCGGTAAATCTCATGTCCATCAAAAGTTCTAGGCTATCCACCGCCGGTCTGTCCCACCCCTATTGACATCATCACGGCTTTTGGCTCCGGTTAAGTCGGCAACCATGGCACTGGTTCGCTTCTCAGCAGCTCCATTGGACCATCGCCAATCAGAAAGTCACAGCGACATCCAAGAATTCTCCGGCAGATCAGGGAACAATCAGGACCCTGACTAGAACCCCTTTTTGACCTTGCCTGCCCCATTATCAACAGATTTACGAGTATTGGGTACATGTGGGCAAGAGCAGAGTTCTTCAAGCTTAATACTCCAGAGGCTGGGTCATATGCCCAAAGAGGAAGTTGGATTAAAAGTTTGAGAGATTCAATGGACAAAAATTGGTAATGGTCTGCGTCACGATTTTCAGAGTTGTACTCTATGTCAATGAGGAATAAGTTTTTGAGCAGGACTATTAACATGGTTCAGAAAAGATGCGGAGAACGAGGGAGGGGTGTGAAAGGTGGCAGAAGCACCAAGTCCAGTATGCGGTTGACTCGACACTTGCGGCACTTGTACAACAGAAATCACGTCTCCCGAAGCCCTTGCTCGGGGTGTGCTGGAATTGTCGATCCATATCAAGTACTCTTGGTACTCTGCTACTGTGCGTCCTCAGGAATGACTCTCCTTGAGAGTGTAACCGGCTCTTAGGCCACGCGCAACGCACGCCGCAACGTTCGGGCAATCGCCGGCTGATGTATGTGTACGATGAAAGGGAGGCGTGGGGGCTTTGTACTTCTTAAGGACGGAGCGCACAACACATACATAGCGCCTCGCCGTCTCGCTTGCCATTCATGACTGATGTTAATATCCGTTCCTGGTGCCGGATTTATCTGCCTTCAAATGTAAACTGGGAGCTATACCCGTCTCCGAACATCGGTACGGTGGTCATGGGCCAAAGGATCCAAGTAACCAACCGTTGGAAGAACCGAGGTGAAGTGTGAATTTGTGAGGGGTTGTCTCTGTTTTCTGCGGGGCCCCAGCTTTGATAGTTCTGTTTAATGGGTGAGCCAGCAGGAGTAAAACCAGTCTTTCCGAGGTCCTGTGTGAGTGATCGACTGCAAGAGCTTGCCAAGTACTCGCCAACTCGTGCGTTTCGACTCGAACACTTTACCTCTTTATCTGTCTCTATCGATGAGGCAGCCATGTCCTGGAGGCCACCCGCCCTGCGCCCTACAAAGACTGGATCTCTCCCGTGAGAACGGCGTCATTTCAGAAAACAATGGCAACCAAGATATACAGATCGAAAGATCGCGACGTTGCCGTGCCCGAGGACCTCAGCTTGACAGAACTCCTCCATCGCAGCGCTCGATCTCCTCCTCTACCCTCTGACCAAGTCATCGCGCAGGACGATGTAGAAAATCGCACCCTAACTATAGGTCAGCTACGTTCGAATGCTGGAAGACTTGCCAAAGGCCTGACACAACAGTACAGTCCGGGTGATCAAAGTCGATGGGCCGTTGTCCTACCAAACAGTGTTGCGTACATCGAAGTTGTCCATGCAGTTCTGTGGCTCGGGGGCGTCTTTTGCCCCATAAATCATTTGCTGAAGCCGGGCGAGATTGCTCATGCTCTAACAGTATCCAAGCCGAAATTTTTGATAGTATATTCCAAGGTTTGGGCAACGGTGAAAGAGGCTATCAAACTTGCCAAAGACAAATGCCCTGAATTGAAGGATCTAGAAGTCTTGACTGCCATCGGTGCACCGACCAAGGGATTCCGACACCTCCATCCAGATCTCCTGGCGTCTGAGGAGTTGTCTGTACCTCATTATTTGGATACTAGGAAGAGGCTGGCATCGATACACCTCTCATCAGGCACTACGGGCAATCCCAAAGGAGTCGGGCTTTCGCACTACAATTACATAGCCAACGTTTTACAAATGTGGGCACACGATCCGGATCATTGGTCCCCGGACGAGAAGATTGTATCGTATACGCCATTTGTGCATATCGCTAATAGTGAGTTTTGCCATGGGCTGATTAGAACCCCTTCCTGCCCTCAGCTCTGCACGATCTCCGATCTCTACTGACAGCGAGGGGCTAGCAACGATACCTTTGTTCCTTGGACCATGGACCGGCATGCTGCACATTATAATGGAATCCTTTGAGATTGAGTTGTATGCCAAAACCATCCAACGGACGAGAGCCACAGCGGCACAGGTGTCGCCAACGACTGCGTTGACCATAGCAACCACTGATCTGGTCTCAAGATATGACTTTTCCACCATCAGGCACATGACTTGCGGTCCACTTCCTCTCAGTCAAGATGATTATCAAGAGTTCCTGAGACGTGGCAAATGGAAGACTGTAGCGCTTTACGGCATGACAGAGGCCGCTCCGTACGTGACGTGGCAGAAGATTAGAGATGCCATGCCTCTGGGGAAGAGTGGCACGCTGTTGCCCAATATTCTGGCATCGTTGCGTCTTGAAAACGGCCCAGATGCCCCTGAAGGAGGGCCGGGTGAGTTGTGGTTGAAAGGACCCAATATGACGGCAGGGTATGTCGACAATCCTGCTGCCAACGAGACCGCCTTTGATCGAGATGGATGGTACAATACGTATGTTCAACATTCTCCCTTGAGTCGTATTTGGACAGAAGCTAACGGTAACCTCAAGGGGCGACGTGTGTACCATTTCCCCAGAAGGCCATCTACAGGTTGTGGGCCGGACAAAGGAGTTGATCAAATACAATGGCTTCCAGGTGTCTCCGACTGAGCTGGAGGCGTACATGCTCTCTCACCCTGCCGTTCTGGATGCTGCGGTGGGAGGAGTGTGGGATCAGACTAAGATGACCGAGTTGCCCACGGCGTACGTCGTGCTCAGAGAACACGCCAAGGAGCGAGAAGACAAGATTCAAGCGCTCAAGGACATTCAGCAAACGGTCGATGGGCAGGTTGCAGGATACAAGAAGTTGAGGGGACACGTCTGGGAGGTGACATCCCTGCCGAGAAACGCGACCTTCAAACTCTTGCGGAAGCAGCTGGCAACGCACAAGACAGGACTCTGCTCTAGTGAAGGTGAAGCCAGGTTATCCAAGCTGTAGCGAGATGGGATGGGAACTCTGTACCCAGTATCATCAGCACCAATGATAGACCATCATCACACAGGAGCATGTATTGTACAGGTCGTATACAGAGCCATCCACAGATAAGGGCGGGTAAATCCGCCGGGAATCGGATCGGCGGTCGGTAGCATGGGCAAAATCTTGATTCGTTTATCTCTTTCAAGAAGCCGGTCTCTTATTCCGGACAATGGGCGAGAGAGGGCGAGAAGATGAGGATAGGAGTGGACGAATCAGTAATAATAATACCTGGTTAATCATTTTTTTGGTGATACACATTCTCTAATTCATTCCTTTCCCGATCTCTCTCTCTCCCCCTTTTCTCTCTTGCGTATACTGTACGTGGTGGTCTTTGGGCAGCACTGGTCAGTGGTTACACTCGCCGACTAGTTTATCGAGGTTGTCGATCGACCCCTCGAGGTGGTTATGCAGTGTAACAGTAACTGAGCCCATTGACTGGAAGACGGGAAGTTTCTTGCGTCATTCACGCAACCACCAACTTGGTCTTGCAAGGGCTCGCCGCTCGCGTGCCTTGCAATCACCTCCTAGACTGGGACAGAAGCCGGCAATCCACAGTTCCAGGTGCCTGTTCCTGGATTGACGTACGAGACTTCCCTACTTGGGACCCCGCCAGAAGGAGAAGAAAAGATAAAGATGGCTTCGTCACTCTCTATCGGAGCTTTCCTTTCTTCGCACTCTGCACACTCATTACATGCGTCAAGATACCTCTTCATCATGTTGTCGCTATTGCAGCTGGCGTGGGCTTTGGTCGTCCCGCCGTTGCTACAGCAGGCTGGTGCCAACCCCCTACCTCACATTCGACAACCGTATGCGCCAGACTCCTTGGGCGCTGTAGCGAGCGAGAGCAGTGTTTGCAGCCAGATTGGAATTGATCTGCTCCGAAATGGCGGCAATGCTGCAGATGCGGTAAGTGAGCTCCCTAACAACGACTCGAAAGACTCCAGGGTGACAATTTCCAAGCTCGTTGGCACTGTCTTTTGCACCGGAGTTATCGGCATGTATCATAGTGGCATCGGTGGTGGCGGGTTCATGATCGTCCGCAGTTCAAACGGGAGCTACGAAGTGATAGATTTTCGAGAAACAGCCCCTGCTGCTGCTTTTCAGGACATGTACAACAACAACACCAACGCAAGCATTTTCGGGGGTTTGGCGAGGTACGTGCTTCTGTCGATCCACGAGAGATGCTTTCAGACTCATGGTGGTCGACAGCGGAGTTCCAGGAGAAGTCAGGGGCCTGGCTCATTTGCATCAAAATTACGGGAAACTTCCCTGGACGCAGGTAATGCAAGGCGCCATAAAGACGGCTAGATATGGCTGGACGGTCAGCGAGGACTTGGTGCGTTATATGGAATCGGGAATGGCTTCCGCCGCAGTGCCCAATTTCCTCGTCGACGATCCAAACTGGGCCATCGATTTCGCACCCAACGGCACCTTGCTCGGAGCTGGAGACACAATAACACGGAAGAGGTATGCCGACACGCTCGAAACTATTGCTCAGCAAGGCCCTGATGCGTTTTACCGTGGCCCAATCGCCGAGGCTACCATTGCAGCGGTGCAAGCGGCAAACGGAACCATGACACTCGAGGACCTCCACAACTACACCGTCGCCGTTCGGCAAACCGCCAACATCACGTATCGAGGATATCGTTTATTCAGCTGCAGTGCCCCCAGTTCGGGAGAGGTCGCCCTCTCGGTGCTCAAGACCCTAGAACTGTATCCCGATTTCTTTCATGCTGGAACGGTCAATCTGAGCACGCACCGATTGGACGAAGCAATCAGGTTTGGATATGGGGAGAGAACCAGTCTTGGTGATCCATCCTTTGTGCACAATCTGTCGGCGTATCAGGATGAAATGCTGTCTGACGCGACAGCACGCGATATTCGGAGCAAAATTTCAGACCTTCGCACGTTGAATGTCTCGGCGTATGATCCAGCTGGGATTGAATCCCTGGAAACCCCAGGCACTTCTCATATTGTTACGGCAGATGCCTCTGGGATGGCCATCTCTCTAACGACGACAATCAACTTGTTATTTGGGTCGCAGGTTCTGGTCCCCGAGACGGGAGTGATCATGAACAACGAAATGAACGACTTTTCCATTCCCGGATCGTCGAATGCCTTTGGATATGTTCCAAGTCCGTCCAATTATGTGCGACCGGGGAAGAGACCACTGTCGTCCATTTCACCCACTATCGTTGAGTATGGCAACGGAACGCTTTACTATGTTACCGGCGCGGCAGGAGGATCAAGGATCATCACAGCCACAATTCAGAGTCTGGTCCACGTGCTTGACCAGAACATGACAGCTCCACAGGCGCTGGCGCAGCCTCGCCTTCACGATCAACTCATTCCAAACCAGGTGACGTTTGAGTACGCGTACGACAACGAGACAGTGGCATTCATGAAGTCGAGAGGCCACAACATTTCCTTTGTGAGTGACTCTTCCAGCCCTGGAAGAAACGCCCGTTCTTCCACCTAGGCGTTCACCTCGAATAAGGCTGACACGATCATGGTTGCAGATTGCACCCGGCCAGAGCTCAGCTCAAGTAAGTTACCCGCCTGGAATCATATCACAGGACAGGCCTGTTCCCCCTACAACCGTTGTCCATACTAACACCAACCTAGAGCATCCGCCGTCTACCCAATGGCACGTTTGAAGCAGCAGGCGGTAAGTTTCCCCACAGCTTGCGCCACTAACTGCAGAAGCTCCCCTCTGCTCATCCTTATTCACGCCGGCACCAGGAATTTCATCACTGACAATATGCAGAACCCCGGCAGAAAAATAGTGCAGGTTTGGCAATATGAACAAGTTGGCCGAGCAAGTCGTTCAAATGGAATATAGATTGGACGCGTGGCTCGCATATATCGAGTGTAGCAATCGAAAAATTGCTGCGCACTCAATAGAGAGCTATACCACCACAATGTGCGAGGTATCTTGTACGGTCTTGACTCGTCCTCTCAGCTACAGTGGAGAAATGTGCCGCAATTGCCGCGGACTCTCCATGTATTAGGCAATTTGGAGAAGCGGAGGACTTGACTAGTCTGTAGTCTTCAAATTGCGCCAGTTACACCAGTAGGTAGTGTCTTGCAGCCCGAGGCCCCCCATCACCAATCATTTGGCATAACTTTTCTTTGTGTTCGGTGCACAAATTAACTTTGATCGTGTGGCTTTGGTGCCCTGTGTATAACGATCTGGGGCACACCGAGGCCCTGATACACCAACCCACCCGAGACTCTTTAGTCTTCTATCCAAGAGACAAGCGATATCCAAAATCCCAAGGTAGTCAATCAGAGGCACAGGACATTGCTCATTCATTTTTCTCGTTCTATACACGAATTCGGCTGTATATAAGCAGAGCTGCTGTTTATGGCTAACCCGGAGTTAAGCACGACTATGAACGCCATCTCCTCCACACGGATACTGGCCTTGCCGAACAGTGGGGAGGGGGAATCTACAGCGACCTTTTTTGATAAGCGGTCCAAAGAGGCGTGAACCGCTCATTAAATACATAGCTTGCTGGGCATTTCCGAGATCGCGGAGATGCTGTCCTGTGGTAGATCGATATCTGCTTGTCTCTCCTTGGACTTTTCCCCTTGTTCTTCCTTTGTACGAGTGTTATCTACCGTGGACCATTGTATTTTTGTTTTGAAGCTGGATCCTGCCCTTTAACCGAGTTTTGATTTGATGATTTCTGGGGATCTTCGCCCCCACAAACCCGTAAACCACCTGAGATAAACATGTAAGATTTTTCCGAAAACAAAAGTCCATCCCATCGAGATAAATATTCCCAGATGCTTCGCCTTTGTTCTTTTTAGACGTTTTCTGTATACTGACCGACGCCAAATGGATTACCAGATCGCATGGCGGCCAAGTCGCCCGATCCGGTTGCTTCGCACGACAAGCATCTCGAAGCCGACGAAGAAGCAAACACCCCCAGCCATTCATCCACCCTCTCGGAAAAGGACCTAGAAGAACCAAATCCACAGCCGCTCGATCCCGATGTCGAACACGGCATCCCGGTCATCGATCCGACTCAGGATGCCGACGAGAAGGGCCCGCCCGCCGTCACCGTCGACCACGATCCAAATATCGTCGATTGGGACGGCCCAAATGACCCGGAGAAAGCCATCAACTGGACGAACAGGAAGAAATGGTCCAACGTGGCCATCATATCTTCCGTCACCTTCCTGACACCTCTGGCCTCGTCGATGGTCGCCCCAGCCACACCCTTGATCATGAAAGAATTCCACTCATCCAACAACACCATCGGTAGTTTCATTGTCTCCATTTACATCCTGGGCTACGCCTTGGGTCCCCTATTCATTGCCCCGTGCAGCGAAATATGGGGAAGGCTCCTCGTCTACCATGTCAGCAACTTTACGTTCGTCATCTGGACGATGGCGTGTGCTTTGGCACCCGGAATGGGGTCGTTGTTGGTTTTCCGTCTTCTGGCAGGAATCGCGGGAAGTTGCCCAATCACCATTGGGGGTGGCTCTATAGCAGATCTCATTGCCCAAGAGAAGAGAGGTGGCGCGATGGCCTTGTTCACCCTGGGACCGCTCATGGGCCCAGTCATTGGTCCTGTAGCGGGCGGATATCTGGGCCAGGCCGCCGGCTGGCGCTGGATCTTTTGGCTCATCACCATCGCTGGCGGCGTCATGTTGTGTGTCTCGGTCATCTTCCTGCGGGAGACCTTCGAACCCACGCTCCTGGAGCAGCGGGCGAAACGACTCCGCAAGGAGACGGGCAATCTCAATCTACGCTCCAAGCTCGACCAGGGTCTCGCCATGCGCGTCTTCTTCGTCCGTGCTCTTGTGCGGCCCACCAAGATGCTCCTCTTCTCGCCGATCGTCCTCTTGCTGTCTGTCTACATGGCAGTGGTCTATGGCTACCTATACCTTCTCTTCACCACGCTCACCATTGTCTTTGAAGGGCAATACCACTTTAACCAAGGCACGGTTGGACTGAGCTTTCTCGGAATTGGCATCGGTTCCATGATTGGGCTGATCATTTTCGGGACGCTGTCAGACAAGGTCGTTAAGAAGTTGTCGGCCAAGGGGGAAATGAAACCCGAATACAGGCTGCCACCACTCATCCCTGGCAGTCTCCTCATTCCCATTGGCTTGTTCTGGTATGGATGGTCCGCGGACAAGGCGGTCCATTGGATTATGCCCATCATTGGCACGTCTTTTGTCGGATTCGGTCTGCTCGCGACCTTTATGCCAATGCAGACATATCTCGTCGACGCATACCACATTCACGCCGCCTCGGCCATCGCCGCCAACACCGTTTTGAGAAGTTTAATGGGCGCTTTCCTTCCCCTGGCGGGGCCCGAAATGTACGCGGCTCTGGGCCTGGGATGGGGCAATTCTCTGCTTGCATTCATCGCGCTCGCTCTGGCGCCGATGAGTTGGTTCTTCTTTCGCTATGGCGAGACGATTCGGAAGAAATACCCGGTCAAACTGTGACCTCGAGCATCTTTTTTTTTCCAGGGGCAAAAACAAAGCATATAGGGAAGCGAGCGTGGGTCGTTTTGATCTAGCATTCATCATATAGAGACAAAAGACGTTTAAATAGACTTTCGTTTGAGACTACCAGAGACCTCGAGGCCAAAGGTAAAAATATCCTCTCGATTCGTTAGAGGCTTTTTTTCCTGTATGGCTATCTAGCGAAGCGAAACCGTGTATCGAAGCCGTATGTAGATTTTATCGCCAAAGAAGGTTTAAAAAGTGGACTTAGATGTGAGTGGCTCCACCATGTCACAGCCTCGTGTGACTTGCCTGACCAAGATAGTCCTTTCTCAACGGTTTGCTAGCGATATCCTCAACACCTCGTAAGCAAAATACTCAGCACTCAGTCTTGGGATAAACAGAAATAAGATAAAGGCCTATTGACTCGTAGTCTCGAGGTTCCCGCGCACCGTTCATTTGCTTCCCGCGGGCCCGACAACTCCTCTCCTAATAGCTCGTAGCAACAGATGTGGTAGAAACCAAAATAAAGGGGAGGGGTGGGGGTAGAAACAAGGCCCCTTTGTGTTTTTTTCTTTATGCTGGGCAGAAGAGAAGTATACGGAAAGACATGAAGGAGAGCGGTGGTGGTTTCAAAGTTTGACAAAGACACATGGAGTCACAATCACAGACCAGAGGCAGTGGCGCAAACTGTTGATACTATCGCTGTGCTTGGGGACAAGGAATCGCCAGCATATGAAGCGCCTTGACTGTGGAAGAGGGGCGAGTGGTCTTGGGTGAACAATGAAGAGGTGTTTCGCTTTGTGTCCAGGTCTATGGGGGTGGGTCAGTTGGAGTGGTCTGCTCTGCGACCTGTGGACAATAATAAGACGATAAACAAAGGACTTTCCCATACCTGCTTCTTGGCAGGGTCGACCTCAGAACACCACAGTGAATAACCACCCCTCTCTAAACCCCTGGCTTCTCACCCACTGAGCATCCCAAGATTCATGCTCGGGCCGCCTCTTTCACACATGGCAGTAGTAACTTTCCTTTTTTAGCCCAACGATGTTTCGGCCAGCCCGAGAGTAAACCAGCGAGCCGAAATGCTCTCCTCTTCGCTTCTTCCACGGCCTCCGCTGAGCTATGGGCTCGCATTCGCACAAAGCGACATGCAAAACCTGGATAGCATGTATAGCAATACTAGGCCTGGGGTGCTTGGTGTTTGTCTCCAACGCAGGCTGCAGGTATCTGAGGTTTGGGATTGTCAGAATGTTCCTTGAGCATTTGAGATGCGCCCTGAGGCAATACAACAAAGCCGTAGACAAGCAGTGAACACAATTGACTCAACGAGCAAAGCACATCACGCTGTCTCTGTCCGTAAAGGCGACTCATATCAAAGAACTGTGGCATGGCAATTTCAAGCAACTGCCTTGAGGGACCTCGTTTTGCAGTTCTTTAAAGCCTTGCAATCTTTCCTGTGATGTTGTACCTCGGTGCTATCTCAAACCAAAAGCTTCGTTCAAATCTACCTCTCATACACAACTTTGAATCCAAGAAACACCAACACATATCGCACAAAATGCGATACTCAACAAAAACATTGTTTCCTAGCGACATCTGGATGACCGAGCAGCAGAAGGTCGAGAACAAGAAAGCCAAGCCTCAGCCTCAGCAGTTTGTCGATACTGCCAGAGCCGCAACTTCGATCACGATCGTCATAGCCGATTATCTGATCAAGGCCCAGAAAAAGCCTCAAAAAGCCAAATCTGAGTTATTTCGTCTCCTCATGAACTATCTCGGCTTTGTCCACGATGGCCTCAGCTTCTGGGCCAATCAATTGAGGAAAAAGCCTTGTCGGATCGACTTCCAAGGCGAGTTAACCAGACTAGAGGACCTGAGGATAGACTTGAGAACGCTGAGGAGAAAAATCCGAATCGTCAAGCCGGGATTCAAGCTGTGGAGAAAGAAATGGGACCTTCCAACCGTCTCGCCAATAGTGCTGATACTTGACATGGAGCTTCAGGCCTTCAAGTCAGCTCCAAAAACTCTTGGTAAGAGCCACTGCTGCTGTTGGTTTCAACAAACCCTTACTGACTTGAAATTGTATAGGTGAAGTTGAAAGCGAAATACTTCAATGCTTGGTGCTGGGACCGTGCGATGAAATACCCGACCAGGCAGGTACAGGTCTTCCTGCCATCATCGCGGTATGTATTAGTGGTGAGCAAGTCATATGGGGGGAATGCAAAACGCGATGGTGGCCGTTTTGTGTCGTCGACTCTACCTTCAGCGAAATGCGACTTGGCCGACTTCCGGACCACGAGGATGATTTACAGCAGCGAACCATAGAGTTTCAGGACGCCTGGGGCAAGGCCAAGGGCAACATGGAAAAAATGGATGAACTCGTCAAAAACCTTGAACCATTCGAACACGAGGAGCAGCTGAGAGCGTACCATCTTTGCTTTGATGGTCGAACGAGCATGTTCACTCGATGTCCTCCGTGTCTCAAGTGCTCTTACGTGTATAGGTGGGGTGGGGAGGAAAAGGTGGAAAAGGCAATCCAGAAAGGGAAGTTTAATCGGGGCAAGAACTGTGCTGAAGACGACGTCCATTTGCGCCTTGTCTCACAACTGGCCGAGGACGCGCAGGATGATTGACGAATCGAGTCGTTTATCGAAAACTCCATCAGCAGCATGGAGACCAGATTGGGATCGGAAGCATCTTTGATGATCATCTTGGTCCAGTACCGTGGCCTCAGTCCAATCTGATGTGAATCGTTGTGCGCGGCGATATCTCTCGCCGATGGCCAACATGATGTGAATGTCCATTCGCTTTGCCATGATCGCTGGGCAGATCCTCGAATCTGGCAGAAGTCTGACACGTCCCAAGATCAAGATGGTCTTTTCTCATTTTCTGTGACGAAGTGAGGGTCGAGCATTGTTTCGAGTGAAATGATCGACCACGAGACCAATCAGCATAAGAGATAGAGAGGTAGAGAATATAGGAGGGAAGCACAGGGCCAGAGTGGCTGAAGGGGAAGATTGCAGCTCATTGTCCGCCATTTCAATTGGCCCAACGGGAAGTCCGTAGTCAGTCGCTGGTGTCTGATCATATGTACATATCTAGATCATCAATAGATGGCATTTTCTCATATGTGATTGCTTGGCGCGACGAAGATTTAGCTAAACCTGTAAAGACCTAGCTCATGACGTCAGTCATCACGTGATCCAATATTTCGTCTCATGTGTTTCCTCTTATCACCACCCCCTTCAAGGCTACCCTTCCTCCCTCTTCTATCGCTCGGCTGTTCAGTTTTGTGCCATGGGCAGGTCCCATGTGCATTCCGAAGAGGAGGTTTTCCCAAGTCGATTTTTGGGGGTGCGGAGTGGGTAAATATACGCTCTAAAAACCTCATTAGCTCGATCGATTAGGCTTTGTGAATACATGACCACCACTTAGAGACAGATATTACCCACCCAGACCAGGACACGACCATAAGCCCTGTCCGTTCCGTTTGCCTCCCACGTCTAATAAACAAGAGAACCATTGTGGACCTAGTTAGCTAATGAATCACTTGGTCCCGGTTGAACCGCCGGCGGATCATTCGAATCATCATGAGCTAACACCTCTGACTTCAGAAGTTCATCGCGATACTCCTCTAATCCCGCTTCCCCAGCATAATATTGAATTGGCCGCTTCAAGCTCCATGAGTTCCAAAAAGGATCACGAGCGTCCACGATCACCTGGGGTCTAGGGCTGTCCTTCTCATCTCCGTCGACCTCTGGATTGACCTTGCTGATGTATCCACCGGAATAAGAGCGGCGTTGTGCGATGTGTTGTACGTCAGAGAATGACATGCGCCAAACCGCGACCGGTTGCACGGCTTCACACCAGTCCCACAAGAGAGAACCACGGTGTGTCTTCTTTATCGCCTGTGGCCCCTCTTCAAAGTGTGATTGCTCTAAAAAATAAGGCAAGACCGCAAAGTTTTTGAAGACTATCCAAAAACTTTTATCGGCAGGATGAAGCAAGACGTCAAATGGTACTTTGCTGGCCCTGCTGTCGTTTCTGTCGATATCGTCGTCCATCGAGGCTGCTATTGTTCCAATCGCCAGGCCATAGCGTAAGTTTGAGCTGTATTCTGTGTCTCCTGAACTTCGGAGATGAGGTGGGATAGTGATTGGAGGCTCATATTCGACCCAGCATGGATTCGATGAAGTTTTCCCTTTCGGCTTCCGTATTCTTCTAGGGACGAGAGGGCCCCCGGGTTCGACGTATGGCCGCAGGTCGATATAAAAATACATTCGACCATACTTAAATAGCGGGAATGGGATCTCCGGCTTACCGGCCTTGGTTAGGGGCATGTTGTAACACTTGAGGTTGGTTTTCGTTCTCAAGTCACGAACCTGCTTCGGGTCCCAGATATTGAGAGACTTGATCAATTCGCAAAAGTCTGTTGGGGTCAGCCTTGAAGCCTTGAACTGGGCCGTGCTCTCATTCGCTAGGAACTTTGTGCTATATGGCTCGTCAGGATTCTCATCCCAGTCTGTGAACAGGGCGAATTTGGATTTTGGCCAAGATTTCTCCGCGATCTCGTATGGGCTGAGCTCTGTGCTAGTGTGAGTCAAGTCTGCTGAAGTTTTCTAGATTGAGATTTACCTTCTGTCTTACAAGTCTCGCTATCGTCGTCGTCGTCATCGTCACAGTCATAGTCGGAACGCTCGAAAGGCGTTTCCCAAGCCCATTCGTCTTCCACGAGTTTACGAAACTCCTGTCGTAATTCATCCGTCAAGTCCAGTTTCGGGTCCTTGCTAGATGGCTCTGCCATGATGTCTGCGGTGTTCACAAGGCTGCTGTCGACAAGGGCAACGATGTGGTTGGGGTGAGAGGATAGTAATGGAGAATCGGTAGGGTGGAACAGGAGAAACCAGGTCAAGACCTCGGTCTTAAGAGCCAGCTCGAGAGGGAGTGTGTTTGTCTGCGAACGGACAGACAAAAAAAAGATTCGGAATGCCTCCTGCACCAAGCGAGGATCCAAGGAATGTGGGGTGATGGAGCCGAGTAAACAATCAGGGTCCCTCTTTTCTTTCTGGTTGCGTGTCACTCCGCTTGCGTGAGCCTGTCGTGAGTTCTTTGGGTCCGGACTCGGTCCAAGCGCCAAAGTCACGGTTTTGTCACTTGTCACCATCCCTAGTGTCAGGAGGATGCGAACGCAAACGTCCGAGCTGAGATAGAGGAATGATGTATCGAATGCCACGATGGATTTGTGGGTTTCGAGTGTCGAGCTCCAGGTTGCCCACAGATACCCGGAATACAATTTCTCCAACAAGTACTTCCTCCCTCTCGGTCCATCTCAAACTCAGAGACATGATTGCGCTAGGGTCAGGCAACCGAGTCGAGTCTGGCGAATAATCTGTCGAGAACCTCTGCCCTGGCCCGGACTGGGTACGGATTCATGGCTACCTACGTCAGGAAATCTTGAAAAGAGCGAACACAAAAGGGTTCAACAAGAGCTTGGGACGAGAGCTGACTGCAAACGGGACATACAAAGGAAAATAGAGCCCTCTTGCACTGTTGTCTGGCTTCCGCGAACGACCTGATCGCTGGCATTCCGCTGACCCGTGCTGCTCAATAGCAACCGGAATCGAATCGCTATTTGACTCGAGAACAGATGAAGACAAAACATTGACGCAACGAGGTGGGATGGGGGATGTGTGCGTTGTCAGGACCCCGGGAAAGGCCTCACTGCGGCATGGTCTTATACTTTTGAACGAGATCTTCCATCAATCCAGTGATGGATGAGCGTTGATCTAGGCTACTCTCTATGCAGTGAAACACCTGGGCACAGCGTCAAAATTACAAGTCAAGAGTTGCATAATATCGTCAGAGGAGGATTACTCCTCGATAAATGGTCCGCCCAGCTTGTTATTTGGATCATACTTCTTCTTGATTTCCACCAGTTTACTCCAGTTGGCTCCAAAGACCTAGTGGTGGTGGGCGTCAGTCTGTGTTGACGGCTTCAACGATACATCTCCATACCTTCGTCGGGTCAACAAAATCTTCTAGGAAGTTAGGAAAATAGTCGGCCCCCGTATGACCTGGACGTATCTCAAATGGTGCTTCTGCTAACGCTTTGTGTGCCAAAGCGTCGCTTTCGGGTGAGCCTGGAATGACACCCGTGCCTAATTGAAGATTGTGTTGGTTTGCTGTATGAGGCCAGGCGGAGACGAGGCTGGGGAAGCCAACGGATTGATAGACAGCCTTGGGAGTTAACGAACGCATCTTGGAAGAAACCCTTGGAGTAATTCTTACCTTTTGCATGACTTCCGTGAGTACATAAGTGCCCATAACCAGTCTTGGATCAGCCTCCAAGAGTGATAAATACCAATTCCAAGCTCGGAGTATCAAACCCTCATCGACAGAGGGAACAGTGACGCCGGCCGCCCAGGTATTAATCTTCCCGAATGGGGCTTTCGACGCATCTATCCCAGGTTAGCTAGGAGACTTGTCGACTCTCACGAGTTTCGGTTGTCCCTACCAAATTGTTGGTTCACTCCTCGGAAGTTGAGGGTCTTGGTGAGGTCGACGGCTCCCGGGATGTCCAAGGCCCATTTGAAACCCGCTCCACTTCTACCATGCTCGGGTCCGTTGGCGTCGTATGCAAAAATTGCCAGTCCAGGGTTTGCCTCCCGGCCCGCATACGTGCCTGCTGTCATGTCAAGGCAATACAAATGTAGAGCCATCTTTACATCATCACATCGTGAAGCAAAAGCAGCAGTTTCGCGCGCCACATCCTTCAGAGCCGCCGGTGGATAGATGATCTGTCCACAGAAGATTGAAGATGGATACTTGTAAACTCGCATCTTGAAGGCGATGGCGACTCCAAATCCTCCGCCGCCGCCGCGAAGAGCCCAAAGAAGGTCTGGTTCCCCACTTGCCCAGAGGATGCTGCCATCCACTTTGATAACCTGAACGTCAAGCAGATTTTGAGGATCGCAAGCGAGGCCGTACTCTGAACTCAGCCAGCTCTGTCCGCCGTGGAGAATTGATCCACCAACGCCAACATAGGTACACCGAGCACTGACGGCTGCGTATCCCGGAGCAGTTTCTTCGAGCTTCGCGTCGATCTCGCCCCAGCAGTGACCTGCACCAAAAGTAATGGTTTCTTTGTCAGAGTCGAATGAGAACGCCTTGAAGGCTGATAGTGAAATTAACACGTCTTTGCTCGTCGCGTTCCCGATTCCAGTGCAGCGGATGCCAATGTCGAGGTCCGTGGTATTTGCATATGCAATCATCCTGCTCAATGCTTCCACCGTCCTAGGAGAGACAACAGCTAGAGGGTGCTTGTTGGCCTGCACAGCCCATGTTTTTGACTGCTCTTCATAATGAGACGATTCGGGCGTCACGATATCAGAAGGGGACACAAAGGCCAGTAGACTGGCAAGCTTTGGATCGGCCATGTCTATCTTTCTTTAGCCCTGACAGAAGAGACTCATTGAGGTGGGCAGGCCTGCGTATAAAGAAGGGACATTGATTATCGATCATAGCAACTGTCCATGTCATATTGTCAATCCTCAGGCATCACTGGGCTGGCTGCCTGAGAACCGCAGCTTGCGAATACATCCAAGTGTGTCTCACCACTTGGCGGGACGCCTCTCAGATCCGTCTTGTCTACCAATCGTAGCAGTCTATCTGTGATCGGCGAGACTGTGGTCGGCCCATGCCAAGCAGCTTCGCCAGATTCGTGTAGTTCGTGTTGTTGCCACTTGGCGTAACAGTCTCTCGGAAGCTGCATCGTTATTTCTAATGGTTCCTTGCTTTGTCGCAGCTGTCTCTCAAGTCGATTGGTGATCATGGCTTCACTCGTCGAAATCGACTCGCTTGAAATCTTAGTCATCGTCGACAACGAAGTCGATCCAATATCCTCATACCAGCACCCAAAATTGAAGGTCTCGGGACAACTGGCAGATGTTGCTTTGAGAGCCCCGATTCAGGATGGAACTAGGGGAGGTTCAAACTTCGAGATCCGCATGGACAATATCTGCTGCGGGGCCCATGGCTTGTCATTAATGATTGTAAGCAGACTGGGTGTGACTACCAGAGGTTCCTACTAGCTGCTGATCAAAATTCGGTACTGATGTGTGGTCTAGACTGCCGTCAAAGGGCACAAGCGGCATACGGTCCTGTTTGATACAGCCCCAGAAGAGCACATCTGGGAACTCAATGCGAAGAGGTTGAGAGCAAATCTCCGTTCGGTCGATAGGATACATTTGTCTCACTGGCACCGTGACCACTCCGGAGGCATTTTGAAAGCAATTTCCATGATAAATGATGCAAAAGGCAGCCGCGGCATTCCGGTGGACCTCCATCCAGATCGACCAACATATCGAGGCTTCTTGGGCCCGGCTGGTCCAGTCTCGCTGGAGAGGGATCCCACGTTCGAAGAAATCGAGTCTGCTGGAGCTACGATCGAACAGAATAATCAACCGCACACGATCCTCGAAGATATGTTCCTTGTCTCCGGGGAGATTCCTCGAGTGACCTCGTATGAAAAAGGCTTTCAGCGTGGCATGAGGTTCAATTCAGATAGCTCTCGTTGGGAAAGCGACGAGCTGATTTTGGATGAAAGGTTCCTGATGTGTAATGTGAAAGGTAACGAGTCCTCCTGCTCGTCCGGGTCGACGCTGACACAACCCTAGGAAAGGGAATTGTGGTTTTCACTGGATGTAGCCACGCAGGAGTGGTGAATGTTGCCAAAAATGCTGTGCAGCTGGCTGGCGGTGCCCTTCCACTATTTGCCGTCGTTGGTGGATATCATCTTGTCGGACCAAACGAAGCATACATCAAGGACACAGTTGCAGACTTGAAGGCTTTGAACCCTAGCGTCCTGATGCCGGGACACTGCTCCGGGTGGAGAGTCAAGTATGAAATAGAAAGGGTGTTGCCTGGGAGGCTAGCCCCGTCGACCGTCGGCACGCAGTTCGTGTTGTAGCAGCACAATTCTTTGCTTGTTCCATTATCCCATACAGCAGTTAGAGGCATGCTGAATCGTAAAGTCCCAAACACTATATATCTTCCCTCCTCTGCCGCAGGATTTTGTTCTCTCCATATCGCAGTAGCAATACGTGCAAAGTGAAAGGCCGGAGTTAGGTCGAAAGCGGAGTTAGGGAACTCCTCATATATACACCCAGCACTTCCTTGTAAACCCGATGTCCAGAGGATCTGTGCCGTAGACTTTGACAGTCATCATCTAAGTCAATATGACTTCCACTCAACGCAGCATTGCCATTGCATTCTTGGACACGTTCAAGGACCTCGACCTCGAGGCAAATCTTGCTCTCAGAACGGCAGATTGCGTCCATACCATCGCTCCTGCAACATTAGGGGTCCGTCCGAACATGTCAAACCATGACTTCGGAGCACACCTCTTGTCTCTGAAGGAATTCATTTTAGCAATTCCTGTCACCCCCAAGAAGATTTATGAAGGAGGTAACCTCGTCACCGTTTGGGCAACAAGTGAAACAACGTTCCGCGAGCAAGCAAAGGATAAAGACTCGACGGTTGACTGGAGCTATGAGGGAGAATATATTTTTGTCTTCACCTTCAATCAGACGGGCGACAAAATCCAGCACATACTTGAATTTGTCGACAGCAAAAAGGTTGAGAACGCCCGAGTACTGTTCCGGAGAGCTGCCCGGAACATAGCGGAGGAAAACAGCACGAATACTGCTCGCTAGGATTAACTTTAAAGCACAATATCCAGAAAGAAATCCCGCATGGTTGAAGAAGCAGAGGGGCAAATACCCAGTACAAATCTGTCCATGTTGAATCAGATTGCTGCCTGGATAGAGGATCTCCAATACGGAAGCTGACGATGGCCAAACATGCTTCAGAAGAGAGGTCGTTAGATGCCAATGAAGATATCAATGCCGTGACGACCCGGGGGAGGGGGGGGGGGGGGGGGGGGGGGGGCGCTGTCTATCGAGGGTGAGGTGCCGTGCTCGCGGTATGGGACTTATACGTTGTCAGAGACACAAGCAGCTGGTCAAATATTTGTGCGCATTTCTACCTCTCATTTCATTTCATAACGGCAGAAAATGTGGGGAACCCAGCTCTGAGGCGACCCAGGGCTCAAGTCACTTACTTGGACGTTACATTCTTTGTTTTCCACTCGCTGTCAATAGACGCCGGTCGCAGCTCGAATAGACCTTTCCCATGAGCATTTCATCTTGGTCCTTCTTCAAACACAACATGTCTTTGGACGTGAGAAATAGTGCTCGATTTTGAGCGTAGGCAAGGCCATAGCGTGGCGGAGTAAGATTAACCCATACATAGATGTAATAGGTTTTGCGTCCGTTCGGCTGCTGTCTTTTGACCCGGTGGCCATCGAAAGTAATAGCATCTGTAAGGTTCAAATTCAAAGTGGCGAGGACGAAGAGACTCCGACAGAGCCACAAACCTAAGTTCTTGTGATTCGGAATGCCGTTGACACGGATTGACGTAGAAGCGGTCACTCGATCGAGTCCAGCTGTGGCAATGCTTTCCACCGTTTTTTGAGTGGAATGACGAAAATGAGACATCAAGAACCAAGGGTGACTCCAGGTCGAATTGATCTGTGGGATTGGCGCTGGACCTAAATTCAGCGCTGGCAGCGGCCATTCAAAGGGACAACTGATGTCTTGACTGAGTGAGCCTCTCTCCTCTCTAATAGCCTCTTTCGCAATTGAGCCTGGACTATCCTAATTAATCGGTCTCACATTCTCAGCAGCATCATGGCGGACAATGGTTCGTCAATGACTCAGTCAATGCAAAAGTTCTTCGTATTGAGGCTGACGAGTTGTGGCGCAGATTCTTTAGACGGCGTGGAGGAAGCATGCGGTAGGTAGGGCATTCCACCGAATATGCGTTGCTTCAACTCCGGTAACCTGTCATTCTCAAGCACCTTCAATTTAACCGGTCGGGTCGATAAGAGAAGATGCCACTCTGATGCATGAATCTCTGTAGTAGCATCAAGGCTGTGTCAGGACGCGTGGGAAAGCTTCCTTGGAAAAGTTGAAACCACAGGTCGTTATTCGACCAACGCTTTAGCTGGGCTGAAACAGAAATTTTTTCTTTCTCTTCCTCCTCCATACACGTCATAGAAATTGCAACATCAGGTCTGTGATGAAGAGGAAACACCATCATGCCACCATGTCCGAGAAGAGAAAATTTTGGAGAGTCGGCTGTGGTTCAGCTGAGCCGAAACCCATGGGGATCCATGTGACAAAGCGGGTAAGGATACGCGGGACCAGAGGGCCAAAAACAGAAACAACAAGGTGGCGATCCAGTAGAAGAGCGACACCAGGCGGTGCGTCATGAGTAACCAACCTGACCAAGCTTCTCCGGATATTTGGGCTAAATTGCGGGGCGATCGCAAGACGGGACAGAGAGGAGAGAGGAGGGAGACGGAGAGGTGTGCGAGAGCACTGACTCGATCTGCATGGGACACGCGAGAGGGAGAGAGAGAGAGACTCGGTAACCAGAGAGAGACTCCCAAAGGAGCTACTGTGGTGGTACCCTCAACAGAAAGAGGCAGTTCGAGGGAGACGAAAGGGGCTAAGCACTGACCATGCCGGTGCCAATTCTGGGCAAACAGTTGAAGCGAGAAAATCCAGCAGAGACTGTGACAGGTTCGCTTGCCGTTACCCTTGTTGTTGCATCATTTCATCAGCTGGTGCTGCTACCATCCTTCGACCATGGCATCCGTGGGCAGAGCAAGCTTTTTCTCTCACCATCACAACCACTGGCATGCCCTCGCTTCAAGCAGGGTCCAAAATAACATCCCTCGCCCACACGTGGCAGTCGAGCGCCAGTCGAGCGCTTCTCAGGGACCTCACCACAGGTATTGGCCGTTCTCCAGTTTTTGCTAATCCAGCTCCGGCTAGCCATGCGACGTGCATACGGCCGTTATCACTGCTGAAGCGGCATGCGACGAGGCTCTCCAATATCCTAGAGAAAACTCTCCATCCTCATGTTCGAAGCGCCCAAGGCTCAGGCACTGCATTGTGGTTACAACAGCCCTGACAAAGTCGCCTGCTTGCGCCCCCATCTCACAGCCTGGCCCACGGAGAAAGATGCGACGCAACATTCCAGACAGCCGTTCCCCTGACTGAGAACAAGTTTGGCACGGTCAAGACTTATCTAAGTGCACGGGATTTCGAGTCAATGACCCAACCCACCCAAGCGCGGTCAAGTTAAATATCCAAAGGACACCGCTGAACAAGCAGTCAATTCGAAACAACCAGAACAATCAGTTGCCTCCTCGACTCTGTGATAGCAAGCACCAACCTGGTAGTGGAACATGCATCTCGCATCGTAAAACCAACCTCGCAGCCCACATTCCCCAAATCATCCTCTCATTCACGGGTTCTCCCTCCCGCCATTCCGGATGGGCAACATTGGTCGTCCAAGCACAGGGTGTTTTCTGTGTCGCAAACGGAGGGTCAAGGTCGGCCACGCCGCGCCCCGGGTTTCTGGAAAAACCTTCCTTGTGCTGACTGATGATCGTTCTAGTGCGACGAAGGACGCCCCGGATGCCGCAACTGTGCCCGACTTAAGAAACCCTGTCCCGGATATCGAGAACCAGGCTATGGCTTTATTCGAACCGCTGTCTTTGTATCCTCCAAACCAGGAGACAGCCCAAGCCTGAAATCGTCGTCATCCGAGAACCTCACACAAATAGCGCGTTATCGTGCCAGCTCCACTTCGACCGAGGGCGACGACAGCGATTCTGCGAACAGTGACTCGATCATCCACTCATTTTCTCGCGCAACTCAGAGACTACGCCCCGTGAACAGTCTGTCCGGCGATGTGACTGAACAGGCAGTTTGTTACTCCCTCACACAACTTGATGCCAACTCTCGGGTGCTATATGGGAACCATGCATTCACGTTCCTGCCCAAAATACTCTCCAGCTCAGGGCGAGATTCTTATCTATATGCGGCCATGCGATCAGTTGCCGCAATTAATCTGGCCAACCGATCACCGACTGTCGACATGCACTCTATCATCGAAGCCGAGTATGCGCGGGCAGTATCTAGCGTGACTGCTGCCCTAGCAGATCCTGAACAATGTTTAAAGGACGAGACTCTGGTCGCAGTTTGGTTGCTCGGCATCAGAGAGGTAGGGTTGCTCAGCCCATCCCCCTTGTCGATCTTTCTAACATTGAGCAGCTTCTGGCTAGTGTCAATGGACCACACGGAGGCTCGGCCCATCAAACGCACGTCGACGGGACTCTAATGCTTCTGCGTTTACGCGGTGATGAACAGTTTAGCCGCCCCGAGGGTCGTCACCTATATCACACTCTTCTTTCGGCCATGGTATGGGCGCCTGGAAAGAGCTTGGGGATGCTGAGCGCTGACTTGTTTCAGCATTGGAAGCCTCTGTTCGCCAGCGAGGAGCCGTCACCAGAATATCTGATGCTGGAATCACAATTACCCCAGGCCACTTCCACAATTCCAACGGCATCCTTGAGACTGAGGAGCTTTTTCCACGGTGTCTCCAAACTGCGAGCCCGTATCAAGAATTTCCTGCTGATGCCACAGAATGCGTCTGTCAATAAATTCCAAACTGTGAGCTCCTACTTGAGAGCTGCAGCCAGACTCGAGGACAAGGTCAGCGGATGGTGCGACATTTTCGACTGGCTTCCTCGAAAGGTGTTGATCGACACACCGCACCGATACCTTCCTCGCACACCGTGGACAACGGGAACTCTCTTCAGGCTGCACTGCTTCGGGTCATGGGAGGCTTTCTTCCACTGGAACCGGTATTTTGTCGCAAAGATCTGTCTGCACGCAGCTCTACTCGACGCCATCGGTAGTCTTGGGAGCAACCATCCACGTTACGACGATGGAAATTTGGCGGAAGACATCTCTGAATTGGTCACCACCCACACCAAGGTGATACAGGAGACAATCGGCGACTTTCTTGGCACCCTGGCTTTTGCCTTTGGAGACGTGGACAGAAACGGCCTGGCCCGTAATACCCCGACTGCAGTGGTCAGTGACGGGGCGTCTACTGAGCAGCGCGGCATTGACATCCCCAGCGCGTTACAAGTGCAAGCACCTTTGTCTTATCTGATCACTTTGAGATGCCTTGGGCCAGGGCAGAAAGAGGCCATGTTTTTAGCTCTGCAGCGCGTTCGGGCGGAGTTTAGTGTATACTGAAAAATGGATCTTCTCAGCCTTGAACTGGGAATAAAAGTCGATGCTCAAACATGCTGGACTGTGTAGAACGGTTCAATACAAATTTTCTTCCCACATTTGCTCCTTGCGCCAAGCCCGTGACCAATTGCATCTTGAAGAGATCAGATGTCTCCACATTTCAGCCGTAACAGCAAGATAGAAACTCAAGTTTCACATGTCTGCAGCTGAGGGTCATTCAGAACATGTCCAAATCCAAGTCATTGAGATCCATATCATTTCCCTGAAGGTCATAGAGAGCATCAAAGCTCATGTCTGCATCGTTGGAGTCTAGGTTTCCCATCGCGGCGACTTCATCCAGTACCTGATCAATTCCGTCAGCTTGGCCCTGATCTGTCTGCAGGTCCATTCCGCCCGACACCGCAGTAGCAGCGTCGAGATTGGGGTCGGCCGTATCCATATTTGTAAGTTGCTGGGAAAAGTTGAACGAGTCTAAGCCCATGTCCGGCACAGCAAGAAGATTCGTGTATGTTTCAACTTGCCGATATAGACGGACCACCCCTTCAGCAGCGAGAGTTTCCCCGCTCTTCAAGAGATTCCCCAGGTCGTGGTATTGTAAGCGCAAGGCGTCGCGAAGCCCGTTTCCAGCCATACAAACTGCGGTTGTGAGTGCATCAAGAGCATAAAGGAATACGTGACTGTCGCTCAGTTGTAGAAGCACCCCAACGATTGCCCGCAGGGTCGTCTGGGGTCCGTGAACTTCCACGGCTCGGCTCACGAGGGCAGAAATGTCCTCAAAAGGAGGGGCCTCCCCAATGTCCAAGGCAGTTGTGGAAGTAATTAGATTTGCCAGGCAATGTTGTATAATGTTGAGGGTCCCTGGATTCGGTGTCTCTCGTTCTCGCTCCGAGACGAACGAAAAGTCCGGACACTGGTCCAGGGTCTTGAGAATGGAGTCGACGTCGCTATCTTGTGCTCCAATAGTCTTCAGGCGCAACTTCAGCCTCGGCGCACACAATGTCAATATAGTGTGGTGGATATCCCGAGACTCCAACGACCCTGGTGGTTTGATTAGAGCTTCCAACACCTTTCCAGCAACCATGCGCTCATGCTGGAAAACCTCTGCGACCCAATCCATCGCCGATATCAGGGAAGGGAGCAAGAAAGGCTCAAGGAGATCTGGATTTTGTGAGCTGGGTCGCCCTGACACTGGTTGGTACTTACAATCCAAGCCGGCTTGTAAAGAGTCATGAGTTAGCTTTCCCTGCTGGTGAGCCGTCATCGATTGTCGGAGGAGAGTGGGAATCAAGAGGTAGAAGTCGTGGGGACTGCAGTTTGTGAACAGTTCATCGCTGAGGCCTTCAGCCAAGTAAAGAGCGTTGATCCAATTTCCCAAATGCAGTTTCCTTTCTTCAGAGAGGTTCTCTAGGCTCTCTTCGTTATGCTCATGCTCTAGATATCGAGCTAGGAATCCATCCTTCTTTCGTATACCCAAGCTTGAGTTTGACAACCCTAGTCGCTCCCTGCTTACCAAAATCAGAAGAAAGATGGCCCCAAAATCATCGTACACCGGTTGTGCCTCTCCTTTCTTCAGTTAGCGGGCAACTATCTCGGGGGTTTGTTACTTACCATGTATTTCATCCCATCGCCACTCGTCCAAGAGCCCACAAAGTGGTCCGAGAAAATAGTCAGGACGAACGAATAGAGCAATGCAATTGATCGTAGTAGGTCTCCGAAGTATAGCATTGGCGAGATCTTTGAGACATTGTGTTTCCTTGTTTTGACAGTAATTATGCACGATCTAGGAGTTGTTAGGGGAACTTCTCCTCAATAAGACGGCTTACAGACCTCAACAACCGCTTGACTGATGAAGCCTGCACTTCCATCGCTGCGGGTCAATTCCTCAACAAGTTTGGGTCCTCTCGTAGGATTTGCGTGGACTTGTGCCACGAGGTCATCCTTAGCATACAAGCCCTTGCTCAGTCCTTTCAAAGTATCCTCGTTTCCAACGAGCTGTACTGCGGTTTGTGCCGGGAGCAAGTGATGCAAAGTACAGACGTGCAGCAGCCTAGCGCCCGTCAAAATAAGGTCTTGTGACGAAAGTAAAGACACCACTTGATGCCATGAGTCGGTCATGGCTCGTTCGGTATTGAAACTGTTGAATGAAGAGGCTGATATCATTGACAGAAGTGCTGGAAGTTTGTTCTGAATGAAAATCTGACACTGCTGCATGCATAAAGTTCTGCCAGGAGTAATGGTCTGGGCTTTGAGAATGGAAAAGGAGGACGTAAAGACGTCGATGAACATTGACTGGTAATCATTCTGATGGCGCGCTGAAAGCCAATGCACTGTCCCTCCATCGTCGATAGTTGAGCCTGCAAAGAGAAGACTTTCTAGGTAAAGCATTGTGCCAGCTTTGGAAGCCACCAACTGGCTATCTGCGATAGAGACTTGAAATTGAAGCGCTTGAATCTCGGAAGCAGGGGCAGGGGCATTGCCAGGCTGCGCCGAGCCATCATCCAGGAGGTTAATATGTTTCAAGACTGTGTTTATCCGCTCCATGAGCTGAGAAGAGAGCGTAGAATATAATGGCAAGCAGAGCTCAAAGGCCTGTTTCACTAGAGTGCGTAAGTTGTCGACAGCCACGTATTTCTCCTTTTGCTCCAGGCTCTTGGCAATGGATAAAGATTCGAGTCCAGCGTCAGTTGCGGTCATAGATGCCATGAGGAAGGCGAGCAATTCGATGGTGCTGCTGAGCTCCATTCCTGGTGGCTCAGAATCTCCTCGTGATGCTTGTCGTGCCAAAGTAGAAAGCCATCTTGACGAGATCTGTAGAGCTAGGCGTGCTTCAGCTGCCCCGGTCTTGAACTTTGGGGAGACAATCACCATGGTCAAATCTTGCAGGGTGTCATTGTAGCATGCAAGTGCACCTTGTGTGGCTGGGGACCTTGTTGCATTCCAACGTTTTGTGAGGATAACCAGTGCGTCGGATATGACGATAACTCCAGCGGTTGCAATGTAGTCGATATAAAGTGAGACGAGAGGATCTCCTGGCTGGCAGAAAGATTCCCGACATTCAACCAGGGCCCCAAATAATCGCTTGCCATCGATTTCACCGTCATGGTTCCGCAGCAAGTTGCCGAAGTCTTGCACAGAGATTCGACGAAGCAGGCATTGACGAGTCAGAGTGAGCCACTTCGAGACCGTCATGTTATTGTGGGAGCCTTGTGCTCTAGAATCTTGGGCTGGGATTTTTGCTCTGGGCCACTTTTCTTCCTTTGGTAAGGGCGAATATTCTCGTTGATATCCTGGTTTTAAGGTTACACATAGCCCTAAAACCCTGGTAGACTCAGCTACTATACTCTGTGGCCCTGTAGTTGAGAACACGTAAAAGGAATATGGGGTGAATGCTACTGACTTGTGGTGGTTAGATCCATTTTGGTGCACTAATTGCTGAATTCTGCAAACTCGTCATACAGTGCAAACATTGCAAACATTCCGAAGCCTGCGCAGTCTCACATCGTGGACCGGCAATGTGATGACCACCACCATTGACCTTTCTCAACCGATGGAGTCTGCACTGTTTGTGACGCTCCTCAGCTAGAAGCGCAGGCGCTCTGGAGGAGATGTTGCTCCCGGTGACCCATTTTTTCCGCTTGTACCTCGCGCAGTGGCAACCTCCATGAAGTCCAGCTTTTCATGTGTCGCACCACCAGGCACTCCGATCTTTCGACCACCAGCTACCAGTAATGGCTGAAGGTTGCCCACGAATCAGTCTTCTCCCTGCTGATATTTCTACAAAAGTCTCATCATCTTCCGATATCACATCCTCCGAGCATGTCATCGAGGGGCTGTTCAGAAATGCTTTGGACGCCGATGCCTCGTCGGTGGTGATTGAAGTGGAATTCTCGAAAGGCTACATTTGGATATGTGATAACGGGATCGGGATTCAAGAGGTGGAATTTTCAGAGCAAGGCCAGTTGGCCAGACTTCACTGTATGTGATAGCTCAATATCCATCCCGATCAAGAATCTGACTGTGGTGCTTTAGGTTCTTCAAAACTGGATTATTCGCCTCCGACATACGGTTGTTATGGCCGCTTCTTGTCAAACCTGTCGCACCTGTCTCTGTTATCGATAGCCTCCGAGCATCGATCGGAAGTCTTTGCGAATCGGTTGATCTTGTATCGTGGGAATGCTGTATGTCGCCAGTTACGGCTCGACAAACAAGATGTTGGTATGATGCGGAAAGGCACGGCCATTACTGTCCACGATCTTTTCAGCGATATGCCAGCCCGCGCCAAACACCTGTCACAGCTCTATGCTTCCTCGACCGAGACAGAAAAAGCATTCAACCGGGTGAAGGAAATGCTCGCTGGATACCTGCTTGCACAGTCTCGTGCGATCGAAGTGCGATTCTCCACCAAAGGCGCAAGACAACATAGTGTTCATTTCCGTTCACCGGACTTGAGGGAAGGGCAATTCTCACTAGAGTCGACAGTATCAATACTATTTCAGGCCAGGCTGGTGAATTCTGTCGACATCACAAAATGGCGCTCAGCATCCGCTCGCACGAAGCATTTCCGTATTCGTGCTGCCATCTCTGTCGAACGATCGCCAAATAAGTCAGCTCAGTACATTTCCATTGGAAAGTCTCCAATTCAAAGAGAGGGCGGAATCAAATGTGTATTTGATGGTATTGATCGGCTTTACCAGGAGTCGACCTTCGGCTCCCAGGACTTTCACCACAATGCGAAGGGCATGGCAATCGAAGACCAAGATTCCGTTGACAGATCTGGTGAAACCAACAAGCTGCCAAAGCCCGTGGATAAATGGCCTATGTTCTACATTCAAATTGAGCCGAGAACTCGGGAATTGTCGACCAACCTCGCCTTGGGCCAGCCTATGTCGGATATGCTCCCCGTCCTTGATCATTTGACAAGAGCGATCGAATCGTTAATCTCTAATTTTCTAAATATGCATGGATTTTCAGCCTGTGCCGAACGCAATGCATCGAAAAGGGTGCGTCGTCGACATAACCGTGGAATTGGCCCTTGCCAACAACTGGTTGGAGAACCTGCCAACAAACCCTCGAAACTTGCAACTGAGGCTAGGTATCTAAGTCACTGGCGTCGCGTCAAGAGTGCTCGTCCCTCACCAGAGGATTTCCGCTATGGCTTGGGCTTGAGAAATTCAGATGATCACTCTTGTTCATCTCTGGAGGTCACCAAAGAAGGTCGCTTATCTGTTGACCCTAGTCGCAAAGAGTCGGACCCTGAGGACGCAACCCGCGAGACCCAAAGTGATTTCGAAGGTTTTGACGAAACTTTCGATGGTGTTCCTTGGATCAGCTGGCGCGGTGGTCAGGCCACTTATGTCCACCCTCGGACAGGTGCTGTAATACCTCCGGCAGATGGAGACGCAGCACTTTCATATCGAAACCGCGGGAGTTTAACGCGAATACAAGGCCCAGAACTCCCTGGTAACAATGACAGCGCGAAGCCTCTCGTCAATTTACGGCACTATCTGCCGGCAGGCTATCGTCACCAATCTGACGCTCCGATTGCCTGCATCATATCCGAACGGGGTCCGGGGTTGTCTGGAAAAGTGATCGTTGCCAGAGGACAGGACAATACTGTTCTAGACTCACGGATCGTCACGAAAGGTTCTTTGTCAAGCGCCAGTATTGTCCAGCAGGTTGATCGAAAGTTTATCCTTGCCATTCTCGCTGTTCGAGATACCGGCGACCCATATTTTGCCGGGAGGAAACAGCGGAGACTCCTCGTTCTTATTGACCAGCATGCGGCTGACGAAAGAATTAAATTTGAAAAGCTGTGTGAAGACTTGTGCAAGCGCATCTCCACAAATCTTGCTAAACCATTGGTCTTCGAGGTTGACGAAACGGAAGCGCGACTTTTGGAAGATCACAAGGGATTTTTTCGGCGATGGAGTGTGATATATCACATTGCTGAAAGCACGAGGTCTCATACGGCACGACATCCGCCCAGCCATCGTTCCTGGACAGTGGAGGTGACTGTTCTGCCGACCCTCATTATTGAGCGTTGTCGCGCCGACCCGAAGCTTTTGGCTGACATCATGAGAAGCGAGATCTGGTTAGGCCGTGCGCGGCGTTGTAGTCCGCTGCCCCGTCCTCCACAATCAGACGAGCCTTGTTGGTGGTCCAACCTTGCGGACTGCCCGAAAGGCATGATCGAGATGCTCAAGTCTCGATCCTGCCGCACTGCGGTCATGTTCAACGATCATTTGGACAAGAGGCAATGCCACGAACTTGTGCAGAGACTATCTCAGTGCACCTTACCTTTCCAATGTGCTCACGGCCGGCCCACGTTAACAATCCTGGCAGAACTTGGTGGAGATTTTTGTGGCTTCGGCATGGATGCAGATCCCAGCACCGTCGCGCTTGGATTTGGCGACGCCTGGAGAGGTTGGGTCAAGTAGGCGTCTTGGACGGTAGAAATCATTACGTACAGATTATGAGCATGTTCGCATCTGTAATTGGCCGTCTGCAGCCAGCTGTCTCACCTACCCACTTGTCTTTTGTGTCAGAGGCAGTATTTTTCTCCACTCCGTCGCAACTGGCGGCCCAAGTGACGAGCGGCTGAGTCGGCTAGGCCAAACGCAAGCGCGGAGTGACTTTGGAAACAATCCCGCCAGAAACGCAAATGCAAGGAGGTCAAGACGCATGCATGATCCGTCGTCACACTGCCGTGGCCAATAGGAGAACAATGCAGGCGGGATCCAAGGTGACTGTGTACAAGTAGGGGGGCCCCGGAGGATGTTGGTTGAGGCGGCATTTTTGACGAGCGGCTTTGCTGGCGGGCGTCACTCGAGCTCAGATTTGAGATCAAGCGTCCAATCGTTGCCCTCGACGGACCTCCATCACATGCATCCAAGCTCAAAGCTCCAGGCCCCTTTTGGCCCTTGATGATTCAAGGTCAGCCCTTGCTTCGCATTTGGAACCATGCAGCTGTGACGGGCGGGCAGCCTTCGGACCAGGGAGGCAAAATGTCGTGCTAGCCCCGTTCTTGAAACGGCACAAAGGACTGTCAATCACGAGGACTGCGCTGGGGTCGATACGAGAAAGAGCGGGGGACGGAGACAGAGGGTGAGGAAAAGGGCACCGGAGAGGACGGCCCATAATGCACTCGAAGCACACGGCTGCATACTTGGTCAGCCAGGTGACTCGTGTCCACACTCACTTGAAGGACGGTGGAGGGGAAGGGGAAATAAAGCTCACCAGAGTGCTTTGCTTCAGAGGGCGGTCATTTGGGGGTGGTGATTCATGATGAAGATTGGACACGATTGTTTGCTGACGGGGAATAAAAATGAACTCTGCTCAGTGCTCACCCTGTCTCAACACACCGCACGAAGATCCTTTCTCAGACAACTGCCGCCTGCTTTTCCGGTGGCCCGCGGCCCCTTGGAAACGCTAAAGGCGACAGCAATTCTCTGGGTGGCCAGTCAGCGTGCAGAAGGGCAGCTGCAAGAACGATGCGGTAGCTAGGTGAGCTGGGTGGCAGCCGGCAAGCGCCTTTTCCAAGCGCCCGGTGGATTTCGAAGCCCCTTGTCTAGCGTTGTGGAAGTCTCCCCGACCAAACACGCTGCTGCCTCGCCCACCTTCGTCCTCCTGCGTCCTGTGTCTCTCGTTCCTCACGCAGCTGTCAAGCATCAATTGCAAAAAGTGGGAAGGATGTGCTTAGGCCTCTTCGCCCTCTTCCCCTTCTTCTCCTCCTTGCAGACAGCTTTAAGTTGGGGCTTTGGGGACACTTTTCAGAGCTTTTTGCACGATTGACTGCCTCCGTCCTCTTCTGCTCTGCCGCAGGACCTCCAAATCTTGCTACTACGACGAAGGGCGGCTCCCTCCGCTTACTACGCACAGCCAAAGCTATCCCGCAGCCAAATCATCGTGTTTTGTCACTGTTCCCGGCTCCACGTGCGCTTCTCGCGGCTGCCGCTTACCTGCAAATCGACAAACTCCCAAGCAAACATTTCAATACCAACATTATTCTATACAGGGAGCTTCCTCAGAGCTGGCTGTTCTCACTCGACCTTCCTCCTTTTCGACCTGAGGATCTCCCGTGTCGCTTCTCTTTTCACAATTCTCGCCTTTGCAATATTCAGAACTACGATTAAGCGCGTGATTCTCCTGGTGTCCGGTTTGTGAGCGTCCTGGGCGCTTACCTTCCCTCAGGTTGTGACAGATCATAAGCGCCCACACTCCGTTCAGGTCTCTTCTCGCCGCGCGTCTCGCTGCTATCTCGCTCATTTCAGGAGTGTCAAAATTCCTGCTGGCGAATCCGCTCTTTCGAAAAGTCATTCTCCTTATCCCACCCGAAAGGGGGTCCTCCCAGGGCAAGCGCCCACGTTCCCTGGATTCACACATCCCTTTTTGAGGCTCTTGTCTCGACTGTGTTCAGGAGTCGGCACGCAAAAGGAGACTAAGTCCTTCCAGGAAAACTTATAGACCACGGTAACGCTGGGACCGGCCGACTCGCTTTTCTGAAGACATCAAGCCCAGTGTTTGACTCGTGACGATGGCTCCTCCTGCGAGCCAGAATGCTTCCGAGAATGACGTGGCGTCAAGCCCAGATGCCAGTTCACGGGGGTTTGTGGCAGTCAATCGCGCCTCGAGCAACGGTCTGTCATCATGCCCTTCAAGCATCTGTCCATATTGACCGTAACCCAGAAAGCGATGCCTCGCTAGATAGTCGACACTCATCTCCACCAGACCACCTTCTCAGGGACGAGCCTGTACCTAGAAGTTCGAGCGGCACGTATCCACCCCCGCATAGCCAGGAACGCGCGGGCCATAGGCGGAAGCGGTCCGGGTCTGGTGACGACGAGCCTTATCTTGAACGGCGGCGGTATGAGTATAGCCCCCGGGAGGGCCCTGAACCACAACACATGGCCAACCGGGCATTGCGTGTCCTAGGAAGTGCTGATCACAATGCCACATCTGCATACTTTCAGAATGATGCAAACCAGAATGGTCATACGTGGCATGCAGAGAAGCGTGCACAACCTGCCAGCTCCGTCAATGGCCGTCGGCCCAGCACCTCCGAGTCGCATCACGGGGAAACGTTACAGCAAGAAGCCAATGGAACGGAGGCACAGCCCTCACATTGGGGCTCGGACTATCAACCTCGACCCAATGGCCAACTTAATCACGACCAGTATGGTCATCCCGAGTCAGCAACGGGCGCATCAACGGTCGCGCCAAAAAGGAAACGTAATTTCTCCAACAGAACAAAGACCGGATGCATGACGTGCCGACAACGGAAGAAGAAATGTGATGAAGGCCAGCCATATTGTGAGCCTGGTCATTTCTTGAACGTGGAATTTCATTTTTCTCTCCGCCCACTAACACTTTGTCCTTTTTCCAGGTAACAACTGTCTTCGAGGTGGTTTCAGCTGTAAAGGCTACAACCTGAACAGGCGGGCGAATCCGCCCAAGCCCACACTCAATAGAGGCCCGATTCCATTACAGTCCAGGGATGGTCCTGGTGACGTGTCTGAAGCATCACCTTATCAGGGACCTCACATGGAAACTCCCGGCACGAGCAATCCTCTCAAACGTCAGGACAGTGTTCAGTCGCGACCAAGTACGGTCGGTGGTAGTGAAGGACAACACCCCGCGACGTATGAGCTGAGTCCACAACGCAATGAGCCAGCGACCCGACCACTTCGTCCCAACCAGCATAACCCCTGGCCGCCCGCGCAAGGTCAAAGTTCTTATACCTCAGAGCATCTCCCTCCACTGTCGGATTTGAGTCGATCAGAATTACATCCAAGTGCAAACCCGCGAGAAATGTCGCGCGTGCCACCTCAAAGTGCCGGATACCCTCCATCACATGCCCCTCCCGCACCGCCGCCACCGCCGCCGCCCGCGCCTTCGAACCAAGCTCCGCTGGGACCACACCATCAACAGCACTTTGTTCCTCAACATGCAGCGCCCCAGCCTGTAGGTCCTAGCGTCGCTCATCAACCGCCAGCGGGCCCGCCTCAACAGCAGTTACAGTGGCACCAGCCACAACAGCCAGCGTCGTATGGGCATACATATGGCCCTCCTCCACCGGGCCCTCCACCAGCTCATGCTAGCGTTCCGAGTCATACTCGAATGACATCCTCCAGCACCAGCTTCAAGGTATCCGGCCAAGAAGACGTGGAGAAATCCAAGATGTTGAGGTCGGTCAACTATATCCACATGGACCCGACATTGGTCTATGAGCGTCAACGTTGTGAGCGGGCCCTGCAGCGCTATAACGCGGCGTGCCAACTAGATAGCGGGATAGGGGAGCAGGAGGTCCGCAATCTGTTGATGAAGGTGCTCGATCCTAGCCAGGATACGACGCATCGATTTCCTTCACAGTTTCACGGCAAAGGCTATCTTGGGATTGGGGTTAAGATCGAGACGCCTTTCACTTGCACCTATGGCTATAACCTCCGAATTCACGACGATGTCTACGTTGGCAAGGGTTGTAACTTTGACGATGCTGGTGCGATTGAGATCGGGCCTCGCACCATCATCGGGCCCGGCGTCACCATCTTGACCAGCGACCACAACAAGGATCTCGTCAATCGCAAGGGCACCAAGGGTCTCTGGATCGCAAACGATGTGCTCATTGCAGCCGGGGTCATTATCGGCGCCAAAGCCATCATCTATCCAGGCGTCAAGATTGATGAAGGTGCCACGGTCGAACCGGGAGTGCTGGTTCGCGAGTCATTGAGAACAAATCAGATACTTCGGGCGCCGCCGGCTCAGGTCATCGATCCACTTCCACACTAGATGATGGTTTGGTAGGTTGCAGTTGGTGCGGAAGTGGCGCGCTCTTTTTTTTCACACTGCGAGATGGGGGTTTTCGTTTGGGAAGGGTTTACTGGCATTATGGGGATGAGGTATGAGGTATGAGGTACGAGTACCGAGTACCGAGTACATGAACCCAGGACTCGAGGCAGCGGATCGGAAGGCGTTATGTAATACCATTCGCAGGCACAAATATCGGCCTTAGGTTGGGTTTACCCGCAACTTTTAGTAGCCAGTCACTGCCACTCTGTTATGCAGTCAGGGATCCCAAGTACACGTACACAAGCGGACTGCGCAAACAAGCACGTTTGGGGTTTATCTTCTGGTGCTGATGTCTTGAGAGTGACTGCGATCCGATCTCTCGAGAAAAAGCCTTTGGTCGACTTTGAGCTGCGGCAGACCAAATTGGATGACCCATAAGACTCGCCGTGTTGAGTCGCTTGACAAGCACCATGGCCAGCAAGATTTTGGCTTTATTGAACGATTAAGGCGTGCGGGCGTGTCACAAGCGTCTGGCGTCCCGCCCAAACAGAACCTTGATGAGTGCCAAAACAAACCGGTTAGGGAATCCGTCGCTTGAGTAGTACCCCTCAACGGACCGTAAAATAACGAGAATTGTTTGCTCATGATGAGAAGGCGGGGCACGGCTCACCAGGCCGATAGGTGAAGCGCTACGAGGTACAGTGAGAGGATGCAACGATCCCCCATTTTCGGCGTCCTTATTCCATGTTAGCGCTGCTTGCATTTCCCCAACCTAGGATTTATCCCATCACAGACGCTATCAGTCGAGTCGAAGTTCTACGATAGACAGAAAAGGACCATGGTGAAGAGACCACACGAGCCTTCAAACTGTCTACCCGGCTTACGGAGCAACCGTCGTTTGGCAACTACCTCGTAATTTCTAACTTCCTGTTATTCAGAATGCTGCTGGCAAGTCTGTAACCCAGCGAGTTTGATATTATTCTGGGTTCTGAAAGTCATTTTCCGAGCATCTATCCCAGCCGTCGTAGCAGCGTACTCGGTATAGCTCTGACACATTTCCCAGGTAGAGAGCCAGCCAGAGAAGATCATCGACCCGCCAGCTTTCACGAATCTGGGTAGGATAAAAACCTCTAGCCCCTTCGGCCCACGGCGCAACCGCTCAAAGGTTCTGCTCGATTGGCGCTGCGGCTGGCTGGAGGGCTTGGGGGGAATTGAGGGGGCCCAAGTCACTCAGATTGGCTTCTGAGATTGGTTATGAAAGCGCACAGGCAAGATTACGTGGGGCCGAAGATCTGAGTATTTTGCGTTTTTGTGACCTTGAAAAGATACGAGGACGAGTAGGTAAGGCCTCGGTTTTGATAGCAGAGTCATGCTGATGCCATGCAACGAGTTATAATTTATACGTAAACAAGGGTCGAAGCACTCCAGAGGCCTAGAATGCACTTGGCCCAGATGATAAAGGTGGGACCCCAGAACAAAAAGTCTGGGAGGTTTTTCACAGTGGTTTGGTGGCGTGCCGGCGTACTTGGGGTGGTTTTTTTTCCTGCGTCTTTTAGCGGCCCGTTAGGTGGATGTCGACTCGGTACAAGTACGATTACCTAGGCTTGAAGGGAAGGGGAAGCACGGAGTACGGGGCACCTATCAGGTATGTGCAGATACCCAGTTCGTCTGCCTTGCTCCAGTGACTTCCTTCCAGCATCAACAAACCCTTTCATTGTCGGTCAGTCCTCCACAGAGTTTATCGATTTGGTGCTCCATAACGAGTACATCCAGTTCATTCTTTACCCAATCTCTCTTTGTTGTTGTCCACCACGAAGCTGATCCATTGCCTCGTCGTTTGATTTCTAGCACCCCTGCTGTGTACAAGTACTTGTTGTGACGCACAGCTGCCACCTCCTGGCCCTTGCAGACGAATTGGAACCCCCCCTCGTCTCGTCTTGACGCCTTTTACTCGTTCCCCCCCTTTGCCTCCCCTTGGACACATCATTCGAACCTGTTATCTCTTTGCCTCCTCGGCCGTCTCCTCATCCTGTTGGTTCCCTGGTCCGCCTACTGCTGATTGTGAGAGAAATGGCCTTTTGTGAGGCGCAGGTGCTTCGATACTGGACCATGTGATCCGCGACCTTTGACAGACCTTGCAACAAAATGCGCGAGCCTCAACCTTCTGCTATCTATGTCGCGCCGCTACGGATTCGCAAGAATAGTGACGACGATGACGATGACGACGACGAAGAAGGAAACCGTGGCCCCTCTCGAAAAATGGAAGACACGGGGCTGATCACCACGAATCCCCGACCGAGCTCTATAGAATCCCTCGACGATATGACGTCCCGTGCGAGATTCCACAACTACTTACGAGCTCTTTATCCTTTCCAGCCGTCCTCTCCCCACTCCTCCACCACTGTTACACTACCGCTCAGTGCTGGGGATATCATTCTAGTACACTCGGTGCATATCAATGGCTGGGCGGATGGTACACTGCTGGAGACAGGAGCCCGCGGGTGGCTACCGACAAACTATTGTGAGGGGTACGACTATGCGGCGATGCGACCTCTTCTCAAGGCTTTGACCGAATTCTGGGATCTTGTGCGCTGCGCGAGCGATTCAAACCTAGGTCTTTTCCGCAACCAGGACTATATGAGAGGTCTTGTCGCGGGCGTTCGCGCCTTGCTGGAACGCTCCAGTTGTCTAACCCGAGACTGTTCCCTGGTCAAAAAGCACGATGCCATCCGCCGGACGCGTAAAAACCTTCTCTCTGATCTCGCTCTGCTTGTGCGTGCCGCAAAGGAACTGCAGCAAGTAGTCGTGGGCCATGCCGCCAGCAAGGATACCCTCGATATCCGGCTGGATGACATGCTCTTAAAAGCGTTCCGAATTGTCACTCGTGCGGTCTTGTTTTACGACGTCTGGACCGAGCAAGCCGATGCGTCACCAGGGGCTGCCACAAGCCCACCCGACTCTTCCTCGGAATCTGTCGCAGTTATGCAATCCCAGCACTCGACCAAATCACAAGTTCCTGTCCGACGTCAAGCCTCATCATCTGCCAAAATGAAACCTTCAGGCACACCTGTATTGTCAAAGCATAGCAGCCGCAGTTCCACAGGTAATCATCCCAACCATATGCGCCGACACTCATCCATCACACATCGCATGTCTTACACTCGTGGCACGAGCCAAAAGAATTCCAACCTCATATCCGAATTCCTCAATCGCTCCTATGACGAATTCTTGACTGTTCTGGCCTCGTTTCTGGGCTCTCACATGCAATCCCGGTCATCCTCTGAGCTGTTGCTAACCACTCAAAACGCTGTTCGAGCCTGTCGACAGTTGTTTGCGGTTGTCGAGACGGTCATTGACCGCGACTACAGTACCTCTCGACCTCTAGTTCAAGCTAAAGATTCCATGTACGACGCGATCACGGAACTGGTCCATGCTGCTCGTCAGGTTTTCAAGCCCATTCGTTCAATGGACGACGATCTGATTTATTCGCCTGACGAGGCACACAGTCTGGTACAGGCCGCCACAGCCTGCGTCAGTGCGGCCGGCCGCTGTGTCACCAGAACCAAAGCGACGCTGGAAGAAATAGGAGATTTTGAGATCGAGAATTTGAGCTACCTCTTGGGACGAAATTCGGGTGGCTCCAGCACACCAGAGCCAGCAACCTTCGAACCCCAACCCTCGAACCGTCTAACAACTTCTTCTGCGGTGACATCGGCCACAGCCAAAGCCGCAGATAGATTAGAGGAGCGCCCTCGCATCGTCATCAATCAAGGCCTCTTAACTCCTCCTCTCTCCCTGGCTACGGCTGAATCTCCTTCCTCCGCCTCCGGTAGCGTTCCTCCTACACCGAAAGACGATGTGGTGGCAGAGATCATTCGTTCCTCACCACTGCCATCCTCCTCTTTGACTCATCAGAAGACCTCTGCAAGCTCCCCAGTCTCCAACCGGTCCACAGATGTCAGACACCATCGCAAATCCGGCCTCGGCGCAGTTGGAGGAAGTACAAGCAGTGACAGTAGCTTCGAACGCATTGAACGACGGTCAAATCCCAGCAACCTATCCTCAGCGTCGACTCGGGTCACCTCGGTCCAGGAAGATCCTGGTCACCCGCTAAAGGTGCCTGTTTCGAGGCCATCACATGACGCTGGCGGCCGCGAGTCTCTTGACGATGAAGAAGATGCTGAAGCTGAAATTCTCGTTCACACCTATTCCCAGGAGCTTGTCTTTAATCGAGAAGGCATAATTGTCGGCGGCACGCTGAATGCCTTGGTGGAGAGGCTAACCGCCCCCGACTCGGCTCCAGATGTGTCTTTTGTAACCACCATCTATCTCACTTTCCGCTTGTTTGCGACTCCAGTCGCCTTTGCTCGTGCCCTAATCTATCGCTTCGAATACGTGGGTGACAACTTGCGCATCGCAAGCCCTGTCCGACTCCGCGTATATAATGTCTTCAAAGGGTGGATGGAGTCTCACTGGCGACATGATTGTGATGACACTGCCCTCCCGGTCATTGTCGGCTTTGCAAGGCAATCACTTGTTGGTGTGTTGCCAATGGCCGGCAAGAGAATCCTCGAACTGGCAGAAAAAGTTGCCACCAGTCATGCGCCGATCGTCCCGAGAGTACTGTCCGCCATAGGAAAGACCAGCACATCCACAGCAGCCTATGTTGACCCGAGCACCCCTTTGCCGAATCCCGTCATCTCCAAGAGCCAACTCACTGCGCTGAGAGCTTGGAAAATGGGCGGCCCATCAGTTTCCATCCTCGATTTTGACCCCCTTGAACTTGCACGTCAGATCACGTTAAAGACTTCCAAAATCTTTTGCTCAATTCTTCCTGAAGAGCTTCTTGGGACGGAATGGACCAAACGCAGCAGTTCTCTCGCCGTTAATGTGCGCGCCATGTCGACTCTGTCCACCGACATCTCAAATCTCGTCTCCGATTCCGTTCTCCAACTCGAAGAACCCAAAAAGCGAGCCGCCATTGTCAAACAGTGGGTGAA